CAGCGAGTGGGTGATTACTTTTACGTGAGCCTGGATGCCATTTACAACATGTCGGACGAAGAGTTACTTGCTACTACACCCATTATGCCATCACCTTTGGATGAGACATCCGTTATCAGCTCTAGCTCATCATCCGTAGAGCATGATGACTTATGCCATGGATTGGGTATCAGCACACTCGACTCAACAGACGACACCGATCATGAAGAATTCGTGACCAATGATTCAGACAAAGTACCTTTCCAGAAACGACCGCTCTATTGGCTGGTGCTGCATCCTCAAGAGGATCATATACGGATTTTCTTTTATTCAAAGCTTCAAATACATTTGGATGTCATACAACGAGTCAAGAACAAGCTTTTGGAGGTACAAGATACAACCAATCGCCTCATCTTGTTAAGGAGTTTACAAGAAACACGCATGTGCAGGTAAGCATTTCATTGTATTATTGCTGTCGATCTTTGTTCCTCACATTTTTTCTTTTAAAAAAAGCAAATTCTTGGAACCCATACCCGAGAATGGCAATGTTTCTTCAGATGATGAGGATGAGGATGATGACAATGAAATCGACAATGCTACATTTACCCCTGGTCAATTTGGATGTCCTATTGTCTACACCAAACGATTCCCCTTGCATTGGCGCCTTCAACCCAATGTTGCTATCAAGTATCTGACAGCGGATGTTTTGCGATTGTTTGTTGTCATGAACCGACCCCAGATGTTTGTTATTGAACGAGAGAGCTCGATTGTGTATTGCAAGATCTTTGAGCAAGAAGTTGGCACTTGGATTGAGACTGAAGGAGAACCACCCACCATAGTTGCAAGCTCCCCTCTGCCTACCAAATCACCCATGTCGACACCGGTAGAAGGCATGACACCCTCAATGACAGCAACTAGAAGTACGACTGGATCTACTATTGGTGGTGAATCAGCACGCGAGCTGGTGCTACAAGTACATGGCATTGATCTTCCTTCATGGATTGAACAAGAATTTGTGGATTTATTGGAGAATCGGTTGATATCACACATCACCCTGAATGAGATTCAACAAGTATTTCTTCGAAATCCTAATACCAAGCCCACACCCGCAGTAAGTATTCCTCTATGGGAGGATCGATCTGGGAAGAATGTTGGTTACTAAATTACTACTATTAATAGGATGTGCGTTTCATTCTTCCTTTGGAAAAGCCGCCTAAAAGCAAGGAGGTGTTTGACGTGCCCATCCTAGTGAATGATCCAAGTACCCTGATGTCTTTCTTCAAGCAAGCCATTTTGATGGATAGCATCAAGTCTCTTGCTGGACCCTACGTCACTGATATTGTTGGCTTATATAACCGGGAGCGATTTGCCATCCCCGAGGATAGGTAAAATATATAGGGGAGGGATAAAAAGGATATATTGACAGATTACTTACCCCCTTCCCCTTTTCTTTCAGGGTACTAAAAAACGGAGAATGTTGCTTTTACTACAATTGCACACAACGAGTTCCAGGCTCATCGACGCCTTTGGAGCTAGCAGCTGGTCAAGGCATGGCAGGCATTTGCATCACAGCGATTCCCATATTACAAGATACTGAACGAGTCTCACGTGCACCCACCATGGATGTTAATCCTGAACGTATCAAAAATTGTCTTGAAAAGGAATTTCGGGAATCGAGTGGCTCTGATATCAGGAGCTCGTGCAAGGTGTGGATCGAGATTTGGACCACGGGATCAACCGATGCGGACCCATTAATGCAATATCTATACGAATGTTTCCGGCAAAGCCTATGCGACTACTTTATTGAGAAAACAGTAACCGTCGACTTTGGAGCAGCATTACTGCAACGGGCCCTTTTATCACCAGAAACAAAGAGCGTATCCAAGGTGATTCGAAAACGCTTCATCGATTCGATCTTGTACATTTTGCAAAAGGCCGCCCAATGGAAAAGCTCGACCGTATTTTCATTTGAGCAAAGTGTGCGTGTGATGCCATGGGCTATGGATGATATCTTGGATTACATCAATTGCGAGCTTTGCAATATCGACACCAATCTACGAATGACCGTTGCAGGAACCTTAGTGGATCGACCTGATAGCTGGGAGCTATACCAAGGTCAAAAACGATTACAAGATGGCTTGAGGAACAATATTCGGCTTGTTGGTATCAGTGGATTGAGCGATTTTGTGGAGAAGCTAGGCAACGTGGCATCCGATGGCCATGAAATGAGACGTACTAGTGTGGCGAGTGACCGATCTACAGGGCAACGATCAAGACGCAGCTCAACCAGCTCGCATCATTCCTCCAGAAAAGCGAGCAGCAGCAAAAATGATACCCAAGAACGCTCTCGTTCATCATCAAGATCAATGTCAGGTGTGACCAGTCGCAGCTCTCGCCATGGTCTACGTGCTGATGGCAGCAAACATTGTTTCCTTATCCTTCTATTGGATGCACATAGCATTTGCGTATACACGTACAATTGGTCTGAGAAGCAAAGTACGAGCATCTTTGAAAACATTTTTCGTGCCGTCAATCGCCAAGCGACTCGTAATTGCGTGCTGGACAACATTTTACATCAAAAGATTGGGCTTTTTCATCATGCTGAACCTATCAAAAAGATTCTCGATGATTACAGCACCGTGGCAACATGTCCATCTTTGCAACATCTCTTGGAAGGTCATCATTATCTTACACCACACATCCATATGCTTTCACCAAAACACCATCCCAAGCCAAAATCCATGGCAACCACCACACCAACGAGTAGTGAAGCTTCCAATCTCAAAACAACATCACCAGAAAGCAACATGACACCTATATCATCTTCACGACCTTCTCAACAGCGACAAGGCTCGACGTTTGATGAGCTCACTGATGTTATCTCGTATGCAACGGTATCGGACAAGGGCAGCGATATTTGGCGTGTCAGTGATCAAGAAAATGATACAACAACAGCAGCAGCAGCAGCAGCAGCAAACAAAGCAATCATTCAACCTGAAGCAAGTGACATTGATCGTACATTGGCTGGGTTGACTGCTTACGAGCGAGATAAGCATGATCATGATGTACTTAAGCGACACGGTCTCAGCTTTTTGAATGCCTTGGCGTATCGAGCAAATCAACGTATCCTTCAAGAAAAGACACGTCAAGTATGTGTCAAATGGAGTAGACATTATTACGACGCACAAGGACAACAACATGACTATTCTTCTGGTGAACGAGATAAATTGACACGAGGTGATATTCAAGCCATTTTGCGTTCTGCCCGAGTATTTCATTATTGCCGTACACCACTGTTGTTTTCACGATACGATGAAAAGTGGGAGAATCTGGATGATGATATGGTAGCGCGCGACTTGACGGTGGATTGGTATCGCAAAATGCTTACAACACTCGTTATGGATTACGCATCCTATTTGGAAGGCGTACAAATGAGGAAGGTGGATGTTAGCACAGACGTCGATGCTGGTGGAGAAGACGACATTCAATACTTTTGCGCCACCCAAAACTTGTTGATCGATTGCCAGCCTCTCTATCTATTACGTGTTGTGCGAGGAGGTTCCATCATGGGCGAAATTCGGCTGACAGGGAACCATGTATCAGTCACCCTTTACACATTACATGGGCAGTATGGTCGATTGGCTGATACAACGAAAATGCGCACTCATGAGAATGTGCGTCAGCTTGAGGAAACCTGTGGACGCTTCAAACAATTGATCCATATCAATTCTTTTGTGTACGACTTTCATTTACGTTACATTCAGCAATTGCTCAGCGCTGCCAACAATACGAGTGACAATCTTCAGCAGCCAGCAGGGACTTTCCATTTGAACCTACTTCTTGTATTACGGCAATTTTGCGCTGTTCACAAACGACCCGCATCCTATGCACGCAATCGTGTGATCCATGGCTTTTATCAAGTGACGGATACTATCAATCGCAACAAGTTCTTTGATACGCTTTTACAAAGTGCACCACGACACGGCATGCGACCTGTGATGGTTCGAAACAAATCCGTGGGCGCTGCTGTGACCAGCCATGATCTCTCATTTATATCGGATGGTGGAAGAGCTGGCTTATGGAAACACACATTGATTATATGTCCTGCAGAGACGACGGATGATGGATTATGGCTCGAATACTTTATTCTTGTGGTGTATCAAGGCGAGAGCAACCCTGAAATGCTTGTCAAGAATGGAAGTGTCACTCCCAAACCAAATGCAATCATTGTGGATCCTATTGATGCAATGCTACTGCTTGATGGCTATACCATGGATGATATTGTGACCAATGCAAGGGATAGGATGGATACGATTGTGGCAGAGGTATTGTTTCATATCACTTTTAAAGAATCAAATACTCATTAGATTTTGTATAGGTGATCATGTATTGTAAGCGACACAATGATTGGAGTGAGTTATATGAAGCAAGCTCAATAACACTCCCTGGTGCCGAGTCAGCTCGATTGACCAAGTTGCTGAGTGAATTCGATCATATTGACGTGCGGCAGGTGGATCAGAACATGATATTTTCAAGTGTGCCATTGGATTGGCATCGTGTATTTGACTTGCTTACGGTGTTGCTGCAAAGAAAAAGTGTCAAGGATATCCGTGATAGCAGTGGTAAACGGCATTTACTGCTCTACAATCATGGCCGCTATATGGATTTTATGATTCACCTTCAATTGGATTCATCTGCGACGCACATTCAGGGATGGATGGTGAGCCGAGAAAGTAATCGGGCGTCACCTGTGGATGGAGCAATGCGTGAACAAATTGCAAATCTCGGCAACACACTATGTCATATCCTATGGATGGAAACGGTAGACCCAGATCGCTCTTTTACCCCCGTATCAATGTAGATTTTTTAATCAATCGATCTTGCCAAATTAAAAGGGGATGTTAGGGACTCCATTTTTGGTTGGAATTTATGCACGTGTACAGGCTTGATCATGTATATATTATCGTTCCTTTATTCATTATCTTCTTTTTTGTTCCCTTTTACCTGCAGTAGAATAAACCATGTATCATGAGATGAAGACGTGAGTGATGGTGGCACATTATCATTTATTGGATGCATAAGGTGTTCTAACATCATTGATATATAGGTCAAGTGACAGTCTCTATGATCATGTTCGGGATGACATTCAAAACTCAGGGCGATATCTGCGTTATGCACCTTCCACCGATACTCTTGTTGCACACATTGATGCTCGACGACAACGACCTCTACGCAAATACAGTAGTCCCGATGTCATGGCGACTGGTGATGACACGCTTCCAAACAGCCTTTCAAACGACACATTGGTGGAGCACCTCAACGACAATGCCAAAGTGCTATCGTTACGCAACATTCAGCAGATCTTTGTACGGTTGACCAACACGTTTGGCTTTCAGCATGACAGTATGCAAAACATGCTCGACCACTTTAGGGTGATGCTTGACTCTCGTGGATCGCGTATGCCGGCATTAGCAGCGCTCCATTCTCTTCATGCTGAGTACATTGGTGGACCAGACGCCAACTATCGACAATGGTGCATAAAAACAGGACGCACACCACAAACAGCTCACACCGACGACGATCGTATTCAACAACTTGCATTATGGCTCCTGATTTGGGGTGAAGCATCCGTATTACGCTTTTGTCCTGAACTTCTTTGCTTTATCTTTCAATGTGCATCTGGACGCATCGCATCACTATCGACTGAAGAGGAAACCAAGGTGGCACCTGAAGGCGATTTCCTGGATACCATTGTCACACCCCTTTACACCTTTTTACGTGATCAATCTCAGCAACGTGAACGGGATCATGCAAAGATTATTGGATACGATGATGTCAATCAATACTTTTGGCGATCGTGGATCGATTGTGTCGAGAAGCATCCAACTGAACAGCAATATGAGATCTTGCAGCAAGTCGAATGGAAGAAGATCTTTCACAAAACGTACAAAGAAAAGCGATCATGGCTTCATTTGCTTGTCAATTTCACTCGCATATGGATTATACATGTGGTCCCTTTTTGGTTCTACATAAGTGCAAACGCGGATGAGTTGTATGGCGAAGATGAAATGCCGATGCGATTATCAGTGGTTGCCTTGGGTGGTAGTTGGGCCGTCTCTTTGGTCATGCTTGCCAACATTGTTGAATACTCTTATATCCCATGGACATGGCGACGTTCTATGCGATTGATGCGACGCCTTTGGTTGCTTATTCCACTCTGGTTGATCACGACTGGCCCTTCCGTTTACTGTGTGATTTTCGATCGATCAAGCCGTTGGTCTATGTTGGTGTCCATTATACAGCTGTTGATCAGCATTGGAGTCAGCATCTATTTTGCACTTGTTCCAAAGGCATCCTCCTTGTCACTTGATGATGCTACCATGATGGGCAATTTTCCACGACTGAAGCGTGCCGATCGTTACATGTCCATGGCCATTTGGTGCTGCGTCTTTGGTTGCAAGTTCTTGGAGTCCTATTTCTTTGTCGCCCTCTCGTTCAAGGACCCATTGCGTGTGATGCTGCGTATTGATATCGATCAATGCAATGATAGTCTACTTGGTGGGAATATCGTGTGCCGGATCATGCCCTATGTTTCTCTTGCATTGATGCTGCTCATGGAATTGGTGTTGTTTTTCTTGGATACATACCTCTGGTACATTATTTGGAATACCTTGTTTTCAGTCATCCGATCATTCTATCTTGGAGTCTCCATTTGGACACCATGGCGCAACATGTACTCTCGTTTGCCAAAGCGGATCTATGCCAAGGTGCTTGCAGCTGATGAGGTTCCCAATTGGAAGCCAAAGGAGCTATGCTCACATATCTGGAATGCATTTGTGATTTCAATGTATCGCGAACATTTGTTGTCACCCGATCATGTTGCCAAGTTACTTTATCAGCAGGTATGTAAATCATTAAAAAGTCGCTTTGATGATTGGATATTAACATGTGCATGTACATTTACAGATCCCTGATCCTGACAACAAGCGCACAATCCTCAAACCACCAACCTTCTTTGTTTCTCAAGAGGATGTTGCATTCAAGACCGAGTATTTCCCACAAAAGAGTGAAGCTGAGCGACGTATGCAATTTTTTGCACAAAGTTTGACTACGCCCATGCCCGAGCCATTGCCTGTTCCCAGCATGCCAACATTCACCGTTTTAACGCCACATTATGGAGAGAAGATTCTTTTGTCGCTGAGGGAAATCATCCGTGAAGAGGACAGCAACACACGTATCACCTTACTTGAGTATCTCAAAAAGCTGCATCCTTTTGAATGGGAGAACTTTGTCAAGGATACCAAGGTTTTGGCAGACGAGATTATGGTGGATAATGATTTTGACAAGTCATGCACGAGCCAAGTAGCGGATGATCTTCCATTTTACTGCGTTGGATTCAAATCATCAGCACCAGAGTACACGTTACGCACACGAATTTGGGCATCATTACGATCACAGACATTGTATCGCACAGTGACGGGTTTCATGAATTATCATAAGGCGATCAAGCTCTTGTACCGCACCGAATCCCCTGAACGTTGTCAAAAGGAAAGTGAGCTTGACGAGATGGCGAATCGTAAATTTCGATTTCTATTGGCAATGCAACGCTATCAATCATTTTCCAAGGAGGAGAAAGAAAGTGCCGAATTCCTGCTCAACGCCTATCCAGACTTGCAGATTGCATACCTTGAAAAGACGCCTGAGGGTGAATACTACTCTGTGTTGATTGATGGTCATTGTCCCATTCAAGGAGAAGCACGTGAGCGCGTTCCAAAGTATCGTATTCGGTTGCCAGGCAACCCTATTCTCGGTGATGGCAAGGCCGACAACCAGAACAATGCACTTATTTTCTATCGTGGCGAATACCTGCAGCTGATTGATGCCAACCAAGACAACTACCTTGAGGAATGCCTAAAGATTCGCAACGTGCTTGGTGAATTTGAGGATGATGTATACGACCCCAGCGTCTCACCTTATGCTGAAAGACCTGAGTCAAGTCCAGGACCCGTAGCTATTGTTGGTGCGAGAGAGTACATCTTTTCGGAGAACATTGGTGTCCTTGGAGACATTGCAGCTGGAAAGGAACAAACATTTGGCACACTTAGTCAGCGTATCATGGCAACCATTGGTGGCAAGGTAAGGCATATGCGGGGTCTATCATACATTTTTATTCACATTTCAATTTGTTATAGCTCCATTATGGCCATCCTGATTTCTTGAATGCTGTGTTCATGACTACGCGTGGTGGTGTCAGCAAAGCACAAAAGGGATTGCATCTCAACGAAGACATTTATGCTGGTATGAACGCTTTTCAACGAGGTGGAAGGATCAAGCATATCGAATACTTTCAATGCGGCAAAGGACGTGATCTCGGCTTTGGTTCAATTGTCAATTTTGTCACAAAGATTGGCACTGGCATGGGAGAACAAATGTTGTCACGTGAATACTACTATCTCGGCACTCAGCTACCTCTTGATCGATTCCTCACTTTCTATTATGCACACCCTGGCTTTCACATCAACAACATTTTCATCATGCTATCGGTCCAGATATTTACGTTGGTGCTTCTCATGTTCTCTGCTATGGCCATTCCCTTGACAATGTGCGAGTTTCATCCAGATGCCCCTGATGATGCACCATTGATACCCGAAGGCTGTCATAACTTGATACCTGTTATTGAATGGCTCAAGCGTGTTGTATTATCTATCTTTGTGGTTTTCTTTGTTTCCTTCTTGCCCCTGTTCTTGCAAGAAACAGCCGAACGAGGTTTCCTACGTGCGTTGACTCGTTTTGCCAAGCATATGCTTTCATTGTCACCCCTTTTCGAGATCTTTGTCACACAATCTTATGCACATGCAATCCTCAACAACTTGTCATTTGGTGGTGCACGCTATATCGCTACGGGTCGTGGATTTGCTACATCACGAGTGCCATTCTCCCTTTTGTATGCTCGATTTGCTGATACAAGTACATACCTTGGAGCACGTTGCTTTCTGATCCTTCTCTTTGGCTCTATGGTGATATGGATCCCTCATTTGATTTATTTCTGGATCACAGTGGTAGCCTTGATACTCGCACCATTTGTGTTCAATCCCCATCAGTTTGCTCTCACCGATTTCCTTGTCGACTACCGGGAATTCCTTCGATGGCTATCACGTGGCAATGGCAAGTCGCATCAAAGATCATGGATTGATTACTGCCGCTTGACTCGAACAAGGATTACGGGTATCAAGAAGGACAAGAGTCAATTGACTGGATTAAGCAAACGACCACGGGCACAGCTCTCTGTCATTTTCTTTTCCGAGATTGTGATGCCAATTATGCTTGCAGCTGTTTGCTTATTTGCCTACTTGTACGTGCGAAGCTTTGATCCACATGATTCCACTCAACCAAACCAGGGACCAAGTGCATTGCTACGTATTGGTGTGATTGCTTTTGGACCTATTGCTCTCAATGCTGCCATAACAGCCGGGCTCTTTTGCTTGTCGCTTGTTAGCGGATGGATGGCATCCTTTTGTTGTGGTGTCAAGTTTGCAGCAACGGTGGCAGCAATCGCTCATGGATCAGCGGTGGTTATTTTTATCGTCTTTTTTGAGCTGCTGTACATGTTGGAAGAATGGCACTTTGTACGGACATTACTTGGCATGGTGACCGTTGGCGCAATACAAAGAGCCCTTTTCCATATCATGACGATCTTTTTATTGACACGCGAGTTTGAGGAAGGTCAAAGCAATGAAGGATGGTGGACTGGCAGGTGGTACGGTCGAGGGGTAAGTGCATTATTAGCTACCTTATGGTGCTCGTTAGCGATATTAACAAGGTCATTGTATAGCTTGGATGGCATGCCTTATCACAACCATTGCGTGAATATGTATGCAAGATCGTTGAGATGACGTTGTTTGCTACTGATTTTCTGCTTGGACACTTTATCCTGATGTTCCTGTTTATTGTGTGCCTGATACCTGGAATTGATCGTTGGCATTCTCTCATGCTTTTTTGGCTCATGCCCAGTCGCCAAATACGTGAACCCATCTACCCACTTTCTCAACAACGGATACGTCGACGCACTGCTGGATTGTACGGTATATTGCTTACTGCCATGTCATTACTCTTGCTTGGCCTTTTAATAGTACCTGCTGTACTTGGTCCCCGCATCGATTTAACAAGCAACTTGTCTTTCCCCATTTGATTCCATATACAAACCATACAACCAATTGATAATAAAGACATCTAATATACCCAGCACTCTATAATTACATTACGAGGATTCGCATAATACGATACAAAGGATACGTAGATACTCTAGTGCTATGGAAAGGAAATCAATGCAGTAATAAGTTATGCTAAGAAAGAATGGTGGTGCAAACAAGTTAGCTAAGCAATCAGCTCACCTTCGAATTCATCTTTCAATTACCATCATTCTTTGTTATTCGACTCAAGCATCTTCTCAGCTTGCTACGGCATGATCATCAATAAACTTTGGATCAATCTTCGCAATCAACTTTACACCTGTCAGCTGCCACTTTTATTCTTTCAGCATCACTCTCTATATTGGTGATGTCGTTTGACATAATATTTCTGTCTATGATTGTGCTGTAACGCCACAAGGTAGAGAAACAAAACATTGGTAGTGGATATAGTAGCAAGTGCAGCATTCGCGATAAATGGCATTCGAACATGTAATTCCTTGATATCATGATATGGTAAAAGCCGAAGACGAGATTTGTAGCATCACAACTATGCGTTGATGCCTGCTTGGGACCTTGGGAGCATGAAAATATGACAGTCTCCATCGTCGCTCGGATGATGATGCCGAGCCTTTGTTGTGTCATGTGGCACCAGGTAAAGTTTAACTAGTGTGTGTGTGGGAACATGAAGGTGCTCGTTGTTCTTTTGCTTCTCTTCATCGCGAAATGACGAGGTGACAAAAGGTGTGTCGATAACGCTGAAAAAAGAGCAGGTAAGAGTCGCGAGGCAACTGAGTATTATGCAGCTAAGCGATAAAGCGTTCACTTAGGAGCAAGCCGAAAGATGAGCCCTCAACAATCGCGCAAAAAGTGTTGCGTGTCGCAATGGAGCCGCTATCGATTGGCGAGAAGTTTTTTGTTCCCCACGACATTGGTATTAAGCGATACGTCTCAAAACAACCTCTTTCAAAGGTACTTCATGCAAAAAAAATGCGTTTGACATGGCAAGTTGACCCATTCTTTTTTAAAAACGCAAAAAATTCCCCCACCGGGAGTCGAACCCGGGCCACCTGTGTGAAAGACAGGGATCCTGACCGCTGGACCATAGAGGATGTTTCTCTTGTTCTTATAATTTAAACGCGTCGGTACTATATAAACCTAAAAATTTCCTAAAAAGGCGAAGAAAAAGGTGGATGAAAGCTATACGTGTTGGGTATCATAGTAACGAGAAAATGACATAGAATCCATTTATGTAAAGAAGAACGTATTTGGGAGGGTGCATGACGAGCAATTCAATAAATGAGTGGCGGAAGTACATAAAGAGGAGTGATTCAAACCCAGGGGTGCTGACATTTTGTTCACCTTTGTGGGGATTCGACGCTGCTGTTGTTCCCTCTGCTTTTCGATATACACTTGTTACCCTATCAACCTGCATCCAGCAGCAACAGTAGCAGTGACTTTTATTACCTGTATGGAAATGGGGGCGGGGAAAGGAGACAAGACTTGCATTGCAGTATGAAAAGTGAAATGGCAACCACTCAATCGCGTATACTCATGCTCAAGCACATGTCTATTTGCAACTACCACATACGTTGAACGAAGTAAAAAGAAAAGGAGTGGAGGAGCAAAGAAGTTTGGGAACAGCAATGGTGATTGATGAATGTTTATCAACAAGACTATGTACGTAGCTGATTACTTGGCATTAATGGGGGTTATCATTCATAATGAGCAACGAATAAAGGTTTTCATTGGTATCATCTTGCTTTCTGGATCAAGTATTCAGTATTCAGTCTCTAGGCGTTAATACCTATTCAATTCCAACTTGTGGTTTATATATCTTTTGTCGTGTAATCCTTTGACTGTTCGCAGAAACAACTTAAACCACCAAGATCCCCACTTGATTGGCGCAGCTGTTGCATGAAAAAACGAAAGGCAATAAGGATGAATCATTGCACACCATGTGTGTAGGGATAAAAATGGATACAAAGTGTACATTGTAGCTGTTTGATGACACAAGGTATGAGTTTTGACAATGACAATGGAGCAAGATCCGTGCATCGTGCTGTATTGTTGTGGAATAAATGTATCCAGCACACTCTTTGTTTATCATTTGTTGAATCTATATAATGCGTACAATGGTAGTTCTATGGCGCTACTAGCTCGGGTTGTGAGGGAATGATGAGAATGCTGTGTACGGTGATAATGGAGTTGCCATGCTCATTCATCAAGATTTCTTATCCAGGAAATCGTAGAAGGCCTTTTGGGGAATCTCGACATTACCTAAAGACCAATGGTCAGGTGAAGAAACAATGACATGTGGAAAAGATTGCTTACCGATCATCTTCATACGCTTTTTCCCTTCCTTTTGTTTTTGAAGAAGCTTCATTTTCCGGGAGACATCACCACCATACTATATCATGTGCATTAATATATATGCGTCTTTGATGAATGGATATTACTTACGCATTTTGCAGTGACGTTCTTCCTCAGAGCCGGGATTCTAGAATATCCATCAGCATCAAGCTCATCCTACAATATGCAAAAAAGTCTACTCACGTTTCTCTGGCCACGATCTTGTGCCCCAAAGCTGTTTGAATAACGACTTCGAAAAGCTGCTTTTGGATTACGTTCTTGAGGCGTTTCACCCAATCACGACCAACGACATCAACTTGCGAACGATGTAGAATAATAGATAGGGCATCCACCGGTTTATGATTCAGCAACACCGTCATCTATAATGTCAATTGTTTAGGTAAAAGCTACTCGTAATATAGTAAAACCCATACCTTGACTAAATCACTTTCTTCATAACCAGCATCCTCGTAGTCAAACGTGGCATATCCAGAAGACCGGCTCTTCAGCTCATCGTAAAAGTCGGTGACTACCTCGGCAAGTGGCATCATATACTTCATCATCACTCGGGTCTCATCCACAAAGACGTATTCACGTTGTTCTCCACGGCGACTCTACTCGAGCAATTACTAACAATCCCTCCAATTGGTGTGTGTGGTATACATACCCCGCAAAGCTCGATCATTTTACCCATGTAGTCCTATTCTCATGTTATTAGTAATGCGCTATTTGAGCATCCATAATAAAGTTCTCACCTCTGGAAAGATCAAAGTGGCCAAAACCATGGGCTCTTCCAGCCTTGCAACTTTTAGTGCACGTTCATCTGCATCAGGAAAATCGGATGGGTTGCGAACAATCTTGGTTGTTTTGTCGCGATAGACGACTACATTCATCCATAGTCAGAAGCTGTATTCATTTATCCATTGAAAGACTTACTCCTGTAAGGGACAGTAGGTTGTGTGACAATGATACTGGCATCATATTCCTAAAGATATCACGTCAGCCATTGTGATGAAGTGCTAAGTCTTAGTTGCTGCATACATTTTCCAACCGTTGTCGAAAGACATCCATGTGGAGTGTACCAAGAAATCCTAGACGCCATCCTTGCCCAAGAGCATGACTATCAGCAATATGAGTATGCAGCGCGAAAATTTACTTTGTGCCAAAGCTCAACACACCTTGTCTCCTTATGTACCGATACGCTGGCATCGTTCAATGTCAACTTGGTGATCGATTCATCCAGCCGACGAAAATCATTCGTATCAACAGGGAAAATACCAGCAAAGACCATTGATTGTGCAGGTTGGAAACCAGGTAATGCTTCGACTGGTTTGCCGATATGATAAAAGGTATCGCCAACATGAGCTTCGGATGCTGATTTCATACCACAGATCACATAGCCAACTTGTCCAGCATGCCTAATTTAGACCAATGGTAAGAGGAGATCCCTTATCTCTAGGTAACAAATACTCACAAATATCCAGTGGGAAGTTGTTCAGGATGCATGATTCCAACCTTGTTTGGAACAAATTAGATCACCCGTATCTTTCAAATGCTATGCCTCTTACCTCGGATACATCGTATTTTGAATCGGAATGGACGAATGCAATTTTGTCACCTGCATAAGCTTCAATTAGTAAATGATGATGAGAATCGTATATATGAACACGTACCTTTGCGAATCTTTCCATCCACTACACGCACTAGGCACACCACACCAACATATTGGTCATACCACGAATCGAATAATAGCGCACGAAATGGTTTGTCGCGTGATCCCGGTGGGCTAAAAGACGTGTGAATATAACATTGAATACCCCCATGCTGATACTTACGGTGGTATATCTTCAATGATCCTCGGTAATACAGTGTCAACATTCAAGCCTGTTTTTGCCGAGATCTATAATTCATTTCCTAATCAGCAAAGGGAATATCCAATTCAAGCATTGTTACGTACCTTTAAAATCGATGATGTATCCAATTCGAAAGCGCTTTGTATTTGTTGCATGGCCCTCTCAGGTTCGGCGCCAGGGAGATCCACCTTTATGTACATTGCACTGTTAGTCTCACATGAATAAAAGATGCCGAAGCTGAGCTTACTTTGTTTAGCACTGGAATGATATGCAATCCTTCACCAAAAGCAAGATAGAAGTTTGCCACAGTTTGAGCTTGTATTCCTTGTGCAGCGTCTACCAGCAACAGCGTTCCTTGACATGCAGCCAGTGATCGGGACACCTCATAGCTGAAATCCACGTGACCCTGAAAGGCAAACAATCAACCATCAAGGTAATCCAAGTAATTTCAATTTTGAATCCTTACTGGAGTGTCGATCAAATTGAGTAGATAGTCCTTGCCCTTGTAATTGTAAAACATGGATACGGTCTGCAGCAATTAATGAGTATAAGAGCAGGGTTTCCTTTGGCATCAAAAGAGAGATTACCTGTGCCTTGACTGTAATACCCCGTTCCCTTTCCACCTTGAGCTTATCGAGTACTTGCTTGTTGGATGATGTTGCTGATATGGTCTTCGTCAACTCCAATAATCTTTTCGAGAGTTAGGAAGGATGGCATTGATGATGATGATGATATGTTGTCACTTGCCTGTCAGCGAGTGTACTTTTGCCATGATCTATCCAGGATACGGTTACAACGTATATCGACTACAGCGTTCGTTTCGACGTACCGATATGTGCAATGATACTAAAGTTTCGTATGTTCTCTGCAGGAAACGATTCGAGATCAATGTTGCGTGCAGGATCGGCAGCTTTCAGTTTCTAAGTGGAGGAAGGCACGTATCAATATGGCATTCCAAGTTGTTGAGCGATCGGGTATTCACACGCACCTCGGTGGACGATTTCTTCGAGTAGAAGCGTTGACATGTTGGACGTAGGACCTGGAATGCAGGCCTATGGCGAATTATGCGATGCAACAGCAAGCCATGCATTCAAGGAGAAGTGTACAAGTTGGTGGTCAAGGCTTGAAATTACAGCGTGGCTTTTATATCCGACACTCCTCCATTATGCATTATGACCTGATCGACATAGCAAATCCACACGATTACTTTTAGTGTAATATGATTCCCGTTCAATAAGACATATGATGATAAAATCGCTTGGATTGTAACGTACATACACTTAAAAAAGCCGGTGACAAGGATGTTTCTCCTCGTGTTTGCCTTCTATCATGCATTTACAATGATAGCTTGGATAACAATGAAGCACCATGAATGGCCAGCAGAGATCAGCGCTTATTCACAGGGAATCAAAAAAGGGAGTATACACAAAACCTTGGATATTCGACCTCTTGTAAGCAATCAAAAAAGTATGGCAGGGAGAGATAGCGATGGGTGGCGATCACACTCTTTTATTGTGCATAGCAGGCGGGTGTGGGCCATTGTGATGACAATGAACAAGTGAATGCTTTGTCAAAGAACCTAGGAGACGTGATGATATGCATGCATAAATCGACCAAATCAGGGCAGGTGTCAACATCCCTGAGGTACGCGTTCGTATCAGCTATCTATCATTCTTTGTTCCCCAAACACCACAACATTATCACAAAAGGACTTGCCATTGTCAGGATACCTTCCCTCTTTTATTGAAAACTACTAGCTGATTATCATAATCATAGTACTAAAGTGTGCTGCCTTCTACCATTTGGAGGGAAGATCTCGTCACGTGCCCGACATGGAGTTCAAGAGGTTATGATGAGGAGGTAAATGAACGGTGTCATCCATTGCCAACAGGGTGGATGTATGATCAAGGCACGCAAGCATGGTCCATTGATAGGACATCATTTGGTCTCAATTACTTGGTGACATCTCCTTTGACGACAACCGTTATCCCATTTTTATCGTCGCCGTGCAGCAGCTCGTCAATGACTTCGGTGGTGCGCATCTCTGTTGCCGAGCACGTTGATTGCTTTGTCGATGGCTTCCGTCAAGCTTTTTGCTGGTCTCGTGCTGCGACTCTGATCCATTCGCAAGTAGATCGCAAGTTGTTGCCATGTCAACCTGACATCTTATACTGCATTTCACAGATCGCATACTGTACAGCGCTCCTTGATCAAGACGGTGCTACTTAATGGTGTTATCTTTCTCGGCATCCTGTTTTTCATCGATAGCTTCTATAATACACCTGAGCATACGTTGTTTGGCTATTCATACACGGTAAGCTTGATAGTAAGGTGGATGATGATCCTCATATTCATCCCGCTGCTTCCAACCAATAGACATTGACGGGATATCCAATGTACATGCTATGTCTTATGACAAATGCCGGGTTCTTTTCAAGGATTGCAAAGGAAGCATTCAGTATGCATAGCGGCGAGTATCAGCGACACGATAACAGTGAATCGATATCAGCACCCACCACCATCGGCATGGGAATACTTTACATGAGCTGTGCTGCATTCATCAGGTGTTTACGAGTGATTCCACTTATCGGCACACCATTGTCCTTTTACGTCAATTGTATCTTCATGGCTTACTATTGCTTCGAGTATGCATCCTCACACCAGGCTCGATATATGAAGAAGCTCACATTGTTGTTATCATAGATACAAATGGATGCATCTAGGATGGTCGTTGGATCAACGTTTAGCACATGTTGAAAAACATTGGGCTTTCTTTTTCGGTTTTGGTAAGGTTTTATCTTCTTTTCTCATCATGGAATCACTTACTCTCATCATACTACAGGTCTTCCTGCTACGTTATTGACGTTCTTTTTATCCACGCTACATGCTGGTGCTGTATTTGCCTTGATCTTTCCAAGTGTAAGTGTGCTTTATGCAAAAGAGATAGCTGCAACTAACGGCAATGATAGTATGTCATCATGGCAACCATGAGCACAATGAAACCCAGCACTGCACCCAACGTATCGATCCCATTGTTACAAAGGTGGTACTTGCCAAGTCGGATACCGGTGTTTTGGCCTGTTGGAAAAGCAACCAATATTGCCATTGATATCATCCAGTCCTTTGGTGTGGTCGACATGAAGGCTGCATTTACCGAAAACAAGGATCAGCTGGGAAAAGTAGTGTAGTAGAATTATTTACATATGCAAAAGTGTCTTGTGCAACATAAACAATGCATTACCCACGCTATCACTGCATGACCAACAACTATTCCTTCTCTTTCGCATTTCTTGCTCTTGTTCACGATGACTGATTCACAACCACAACCAACACCAGCAGTAGATGCTGATGCATGGGAAAGGCTATTGCAAGAAAATTACGGACGCTATGACACATGCAAGGAGACTTATAGCTTTTATGATCAGCTCAAAGACGGCAAGATACATTCGAGCGTCGTAGACATGTTTAAAGAAAATCGAGAACGGCAGACATTTGATTATGTTATGCAAGCTCGAGAGAAATATCGAAAATTGGACAAAGCTACGCTTAGCATATGGGACGTCCTTGATCAACTCGACAATCTGGAATTTGACAAGAACACGGTTCAACTTCAGCAAAAGGTGCATGCGTTTCAAATGGCAGAAGCCATGCGTCGTGAAGGGATGCCACGATGGATGATTCTCACAGGCTTGATACATGACTTGGGCAAGTATCTTTACGTTCTCGGTGAAAAACAATGGACGGTAAGTGTGTTAATAATACGGTAGTAAATATGCATATGCACTTATTATTTGCTATTGCAAAGGTCATTGGCGATACCTTCCCCGTGGGTTGCAAGCATTGCGAGAGTGTTCTCTTTTCTCAATTTTTCGACAAGAATCCAGATTCCAATCATCCTGTTTACGGAACAGACCACGGCATATACGAACCACATTGTGGTCTTGCCAATGTTTATATGAGCTTTGGACACGACGAATACATGTACATGGTGTGCAAATATTATCTCCCACCCGAAGCATTGTTCATAATCCGATACCATTCATTTTATTCATGCCATCAAGAAGGTGCATACGCGTGGTTATTAAGTCAACAAGACATGCAAATGATGAAATGGGTGAAGACATTCCTGCGTTATGACTTATATTCGTATTCAGAGGAGCTGCCAGATTTGGATAGCATCAAGCCGTATTACAAGGAGCTCATTAGTGAATACTTCCCAGATAAGATACGATGGTAGGGAAGCCATCTCAATAAAAGGATTATCAGCCAGCATATTGTATGAATTAGGTTGTTTATTAAAATCATGCTTCGAGCATAAGGGGTCTTGGGGTTGGTAGTTTTGGTGCCTTTGATTTTTGTAGTAACTTGAAAAGACCGGTACCAATCGAAATAGGGATACCCTATCAACATAGATTTGGGTTAATCGTTGCAATTGAAGATGCATGACATTGTAACATACCATAATGATTTGTTCGGACACACCCACAATTGCATCCTTTTTACTATACAACGCAGCTTCGAAAAGATGGTCTGCTGTTTTCTCGAACGAGGCAACACTGAGAACACTATCTCTCATCTTGGCGATACCAAAGCGAGTGATACCAAGCACCTCACCCTATTGTTCATGGATCAGCGTTTTGTCCATAACGGTCAATAGTCAACAACATACCTTGCTTGTCATGATATCACCCAGTAAAAAGACGTGACGATGATCAATGGTCATACCGTGACTCTCCATGGTCATTTGAATTTCGTTGATGATAGTGTTTCTAAACGACAATGTTAGCGAGCTACCCACAAATGGTCCTGTATTGCTTCCTTTCTTACCTGGCAGCTTCGATACCTAAAACGTCTGCAACCTCCATGACGTGGTTGGATGTAGTTTGCTCACCAATGATACCATCAGTGGTCATAACCTTAAGAAGACCATAACCTTCAACCAGCAGCTGCTTGGCACCATTTCCACCTTGCTTTTCACTGATAACAGCACGAACGACAGAAGGAAGACCCTAAAAGTCGCAATTTAGTATCCCAACCTCATACTTTCTCAATGGATGGCAACGTACGGTGATAATAACTGATGGCAATACACGCTTGACGGCCTTAAGGTTATAGTATACAGATTCATCTTGCTTGCTATGGATATATACACGAATGATATCAGGGCGACTGGTTTGCACATCCTAGATACATGAAATAAGTATTTGCGATGAACCACCTTTATGGATCCAATACTTACGAGTTGTCCTGATTTCAGCTTGGGGAAAGTTTGGATGGCATTTGCAATATCATAAATATTGGTCTCGAGCTGACAACATCAAGGGCATGTTAGCTTTATCTCACAACACGTGACGTAGGATCATACCTGAAGTTTGTTGATAGCATCAAGATCCAACCTGATCAAGATATAGGTCTCGTTTGCATCATACACCTCGTCCATAAACATAGCCACATCACCAAGAGTAGTTTTCTCGACACGGCCCTTGACCACACGAGCTGCTCTTACGTCCTTGTTTGCATGCAACTCACACTTGATAATTGGCGTAGAGATAACCTTGGCAGCGTTGATAATTTCCTTGATACGAGGGACACCAAGAGTGACGTTCATACTAGCAACACCAGCAAAATGGAAAGTCTTCAACGTCATCTGAGTACCAGGTTCACCAATAGATTGCGCACCAATAGCACCAACAGCAGTGCCTAGGAAGGTAGCGTTAATAATACATTCCTACTTGGGTCATGAAAGAAGAGTGCTCACCTGGTTCAATCTTGGCTTTAAGATACTTAGACAAACACACTTCCAAATAGCGATATAGCTGGTTTTCGGTGATGATAAACAAATTGCGTACTGCGGCCTTTGTAGCATCTATTGCAGAGAAAGAAGTTCAGCTTTTGAACGACCAAATCAAAAATAACCAGTAGCTTTATACCTGGAACATCTTCATCAATATCAATATCCATGAAATCTTCATCCGGCACAGCCAAACCAGGAAGCATGCCATGCGTTTTGCGGATGCTGGCAAGCTTGCGAGCAATCTTTTCAGTAACAAACTTGCGTGTCATCTCAATAAAGGCTGGTGTACAATTGGTCTTCCAAATAGGGCGATCCATCTCTGTTTCAGCAATTTGGAGGATTTGCCAAGGAAGTAAGCATGGTTCATCATATCGAGCAGGGTGTGTGAGCTATGTAACAATAATAAGTAAATACTCTTTTGCAACACAAGATTCCATAAGCTTGCTTACCCTAACATGTCGCAAATTGCGCTCAAACTCAACCGGCACACCATCACCTTCAATAGTCATAGGATCCAAACCATCAGCGCCATACAAGAATTGTACCATAGCACCTTCCGAATTGCGAACAGACAAATCGTAGTGTGTGGTAAGATCCTCAAACGCCTTCATCAAACGACGTTGCATGTAACCGGTTTCAGCGGTCTTGACAGCCGTATCGACCAAACCTTCACGACCAGACATAGCGTGGAAAATAAACTCAGTGGGCGTCAAACCAGAATAGAAACTATTGCGAACGAAACCCTTTGCAGGGGGGCTCCTAGCTATTCAAAGGAATCAGTCAACGTATCATACGTAAGGTCCCCTTTGTACTTACAGTGCTTCAAAAAGTGTGGCAGGGAACGATCTTGGAAACCATTGGCCACACGACTACCGCTGATAATTTGCTGACCCACACATGCAACCATTTGAGATACGTTGATTTGCGAACCTAAACATCAACCCATGTTAGACATTGTATGTCATCTTCACACGTGGACTTACCCTTAGAACCGCACCGAGCCATGATACTTGGAGAGTTGTACATATTCAATTCCTTCATACAGACTTTACCAAGATCACCACGAACACCGGATAAGATACCAGACACAATAGACTAAAATCAAACATAGCGTTAATGGCGCATTTCGCAACGCCCATATGATCTTGTGACTCACCTCCATCGTTTGTTCCTCATTACAACCAGGCATGGTTTCCAGTTGACCAGCTTTGAATTTGGCAATGACTTCATCACACTTTTTGTATGCCTCGGCTACTTCTTCATCCTTGATTTCACGTAGACGCTTGCCCGGTGTAACATCGCTGATACCAATGGAAAAGCCCTGATTTGCTGTTGTGGTCGTCAGCAATGCTTTATCCAAATACCCTTCTTCCATTTACTTTTGACACCTACCTAGCCAACGTGCACAGAGCTTTGCAAGTCTAATTTCATATAGACATTTAACTCGATGTTGAATATCAATAAAAGAGCACTTACCTATTCATACACTTTGCAGCTTCCACAGCACCATAATCACGAAGGATAACATAGAATACAGAGTTCTTGTTGCCATCACCGACAATAGCCTTATCCACCAAACCACACATGATCTCGCTGTTTTGAACGACCAACCATCCATCGTTTGGACAAAGATCTGGTACACGGCCCTCCTCTTTGACAAATGACTTGTTCTTGGCCTCGACGTTTAGTAACACCTTGCTATCCTTATTGGGCTTGAAAAGAAGGTTGAAAATTTGCTTGCCGGTCCAAAGACGTTGTGGCTAATGATAAATGTTGTCAGTGATACAAAGATTCAAATGATGGGAGAAACCTTACCTTCCAAATCACTGGAGGTGGAAGTTCAATATGCATTTCAGCGTCGAACATGAATGATGCAATTTGACAGAACATTGCACGGGTATAAAAAGTGTCTTTGTGAGATAAGAGATAGGATGCTGTAATGAAATCTTGTGTGGCGGCAATAAGCGGTTCACCGTTACGCGGCGTGACAAGGTTGTTTTTCACACCCATAAGCTCAATGGCTTCGGCTTTAGCTTCTTGTGTCTGTGGCAAATGCATATTCATCTCATCACCATCGAAATCAGCGTTGTAAGGCGAGCATACACATTCGTTGAAACGGAATGTTCTCCAAGGCATAACTTTGGCAAAATGGGCCATGATGGATAAACGATGGAGTGATGGTTGACGATTGAACAAGACGACATCGTTATCTGATAAATGGCGTTCGACCGTATCACCGATCTTGAGATCGCTAGCAATCCGTTCACGATTACCAAATCGAAGGTATTTCTTGAAACCACCATGTTGAGACTGAACATAATTGGCGCCAGGATGTACGTCGGGGCCATTGATGATGTTTTGGCGCAATTTGTGGATGTTGTGTTTGTTGACACGTTCGGGGAAGGTGAGAATTTTGGCGACACGTTCAGGAACAGCGACTTGGTCAATGCGCATATTGGGATCAGGTGAAATGACGGTTCTTCCAGAGAAATCCACACGTTTGCCCGATAAATTGCCTCTGAAACGACCTTGTTTACCCTTCAAACGCTGACTCAAACCACGACTTGGTTTGCCTTGATTGGCATTGGGTACACCAGGCAATTCGCTGTTGATATACATGGCTGCTGCAAGTTGCAAGAATTCCCATTGCTCCATAAGGTTCATCACGGTGATACCCTTTTCCAAGCCTGCTCGGATAATGGCGTTCGTAAAAACAATCTCGGTAAGCTTGGCTGTCAAATCATCTTCATTGCTGGTATTGTCGTCTTGCATAACCGATGGTCGAATACATGCTGGTGGAACAGGAAGATATTGCCAAATGTACCATTCTGGTCGACCATGCTCCTCGCTTAATCCAAGTAATTCGCAATCCTATTCCCCCATTATTATCAATATAATACTCTACCACTACCATTGATATCCTTTTTGCTCATACCTCAGGCGTAACTTTTTGGAATAATCGTAACACACGCAATGGATTGAGATCATCTTGTGCTTTGGAGATGTGTGGTTTCAATTCGGGCATCGTAGCTGCTGCTGTACTGAAAGTCTTTCGGAATTCTTCAGCTTCGGCTGCAACACGCTTAAGTCGATACTTGTCGTGTGTAATCTTCATGGGACCAATCTTCTTGACAACGCCTAATAACCATCATCCTCCTTAGTGATCTCATCCACCTTCCATGGTGCTTTTTATCCTTTCTTACCATTCACTTCTTTGCAATGGGGACAGTAGGTCACCTTTTTGCATTTCTCATTGATGGCTTTCACAATCTTCATCCGCTGCATGTTGTCAAGGCCGGGAGCACGTAGACGTTTGAGATACATTCGTCGTTCTGGTTCTTCCAACATGACACGACTACAAGTCTAATATCACTTATTAGCTTTCGCCTTCAATCATGTTCATGGCATCGTCATCGTACCTTGCAGATGTCTTGCAAAATGTTGATAGTAGCTCGAAAGTAACCGATATGGAAGATGGGTAAAACAAGCTTCATGTAGCCCCAATGACCGGCACAGTCTTGCATGCCTTTGCCACAAGTTTCACACGTGGATTGCTTATTGGAGGTACCCTATCGTATATAATGTGAGTGGCACAGCGAGATATCTTGATCACATGAAAGCCTACCATCCGAAGATCAAGCACACCACCCTTGACAGGCGTACGACTCTCAGGTTGGTACAAGTCGCGTTGAGTCACTTCCAATTCACCAATCTTGACCATGTTTTGAGGCGACATGACGCCAAACTGGATGTGGCGACTATAGAGATCAATGGGATAAAAAGTGTCAATAACTGCATGATCGTCGACTTGGATCGCCTGCCACTTTACATTTTCTTTGGAGTGTTGTCATAAACTTGCTCCTTCATCGTCACTGCAATTGGATTGGTGAGACTGGGATATCAAAGGGTTCGATCGATCTGTCGTTTACCGAGAATGCTGCTGTCAGGACAAGGTGCTCTCCAAAGCTGGGTTGCGCTTGGACGTTATTTTTTGAGTGCACTTGAAACATGGCTCCGCCACCAAATGCCCTGCCTACCACCCACATTGCATCAATCAATAGACTTCTTCCAACCACCCCCTTTTATGTGAGACCATTGTGTAAATCTTGACAATGAAAATTCTTGTTTATGCGTTATCATTGTTATTGCGCTTATGGATGAAACAAAGACTACGTGCTAAGGTCTCCTAACACCAAAATCTTGGGAGTAGCAAAGAGACCATCCACTGCACGCGATTTTGCCATGATACGCAAAGAAAGAGAATACGTCCAACCGTGACAACCTTGTGTTTGGTAACTATATCGCGCATATGCAAAGTATTTTGTTCGGATAATGGTCCACTTGTTTTGCCTTGGCAACGCACTAGATCCATATCATTGTATAGCACACAACAACCTACGCTACATATCAATTTGAATAATGATTCGTAGACTGTCCATTGATAGTACCTTCCTCCCGTTCTCGATTGTTGCCCAATCCAATCATACGAACGATTGTCCTGCTCCAGCCCAGCATGCCCATCATTCAACTTTCTTGATCCGAGTTGATTTGACTGAACTACGGTCAAACACAGAAGTATCATCCAACTTGTGAAAAATCATTGTGTAAACTTATTTGTAAACCGCCAGCTAGCAGCCCATTCCTCCCACTCACCTTTGTTGTCCAATCCAATGCATACGAACAAATATCCTGCTCCAGCCCAACGTTTGCATCCTTCAACTTTCTTGATCCGATGGGATTTGACTGAGTTACGGTCAAACACAGAAGTATCATCCAATATGAGAAAGATCAAATTGCTTAGTTATTTGTAAACTGCTGGTTGATAGTCCGTTCCTCCCATTTGTCTTTTATGCCCATTCCAATGCATGTGAACGATTGTCCTGCTCCAGTCCATCATCTCCATCATTCAACTCTCTTGATCCGAGAGGATTTGGTTGAGTTACGCTCAAACACAAAACATCACCCAATTTCACAAAAATCATTTTGCTAATAACAACCCACTCCTCCCAACCACGTTTGTTGCCCAATCCAATGCATGTGAACGATTGTCCTGCTCCAGCCCAGCATGCCCATCATTCAACTTCCTTGGTTCGAGGTGACATGGTAGTATGTAACAATGGATGTTGTTGGATCATCATTATCATGTAAAGTGTAAAATGACACACACCCTTTTGCTATACGTGAGGATAATCATTTCATTTATTTAAGCGTGTCTATTGTCTGTCGTAAGGATGATGATGATGATGATGGGGATGGGTGGTGTACATACATATAGCGCACATAGCGCACATATCGCACATAGCGCACATAGGGTAATTGAATGGCCTCAGTGTAATAGCAGTAGGGGATTTAAACTTGGGGGACAGCAGCTCCACGACTTGAGACAGCACTTCTCTTCTCTTTCTCACTCCTCTGCTTTTATTGCATTCACGGAATTGCGATCAAGGTAATGTACTATAAAAGAGTGCGCTTGTTGTTTGTGAGGCATTAACATAGTTCTGAACAGGCATTGTCAGGTAGTGAGTGTGTCCAAAGTGCCGAGGAATGAGCGTGGTTGGTGGTTGGTGGTTGCCATGGCGATACTGTTGCTTCCTCTTGTTCGTTGCTATTCCCGCTCTATGCTTGGTGTCAACAGGTACATTCAGAGTCCAATGTTGCAGCACAACTTGTTCCATTGACGTGTTAGCTTGCATAGAGGGCAAGTTTGGTTTCAAGACGTTGGCTGGTTGGCGTTTTGTTTCGGCTCAACTATACTACACCATGGTTTTCGGTTTCCAGTAACCAACAACAACGGGTCTTTGTGTATATGGAAAAGGCAAGTACAATGAAACAAACAATGAAAAGGGTGTTTATTGTGCGTGTGTGCTAATAATGAATTGAATAGGTTTCTTTGGTCAGGCAATGCAACTTGGGGCATCATCATCATCATCTCTTTGTATTCAAGTCCCAGCCTGTATCAAATGGTCGCTGCGTCGCTCTGCGCTAGCCAAGTGTGCTGGAAAAGCTTCTTGGAACGCGTCCAAGGCTCTATACGCCTGCGTATGAGTTGATGAGTCGATGACGATGGATTTTTGGAAGAGCATGGTCACCGTGTTGAGGTACAAGGGGATTTGCAACAACTCGTGAATGTGTTGAATCAACACGCTCTTCTCATGATAGGCTCGTTCTTTCCCTTGAGGATTTCTTTTCATGACGTGGGAAATGATTGCAAGGATTGGGGATCATTCTTTCTTTGGAGAGGATGAATGAGAACAACTATGAGCCTGGACTCTACGTAAATGATGTCCTTCCTTGCCATGGATCGAACTGGCCTTGCGTGATTCGTGCAGTGCTTTCTCAAGAACAAGGGATCGCCCGACGTTGCTCGTATGGTGGTGATTTGATTTGTGAATTCCTTCTGATTTGCTTTCTTCCTTGGAGAGGATCGCCTAACGGTATACCAAATCGTCATCATTCCCGGATCAGACGATCTAACTTGGCTGGTTTTTATTTGTAGAGATGATGATTACGATGATTACCACATCCACATTCACAACAATGACGATTACGATGATCACCCCATCTACAACAATGACAACGATGACGACAGCGAGATTCAAAAGGAAGCCTGCAAGACCCCATTCTCTTCAACTTGTGTATTTTTGGATGTTGGTGTGACGGATGAGATTGACGACTGGTGACGAGTATGAGTACGAATGATGACGGAGGACGACTACGACGATGGTGGTGGCAATGTAAAGTACATAGCAAGATAGCTAGATGAAATAAAGCATTGTTTATTTATTACACGCTTGTTGGAGGTTGCTAGCTTGTGGATTACATACTATTGCTTCGAAGATGGAATAATAAAGGTGGTCCGGTTATCGGTCATGCAAGAAGTATATGGCTTTTGTGATACAATAAGGATGAGTGGGAAGTGGGATGAGCTTAAGAAGAGAAAAAGTGAAGAGATCCCTCCATTGAGTTTCAGGATGAGTGACTCATTCAATATGTATACGTATCTTTTTACATATACAAATTATGCAGCTCGACTTTCTTCTACATGCAAATGTGACGCATACCTTGACACACCTTCATTATTGGATGCTGTTTACTTACGTAGCTTCACAAAAGGCAATCATCATCATCATCCATTTGTGGAGCAACCTGTCAAGGACGTGTCTGTGTAACCACCACGTGCCGTTTCACTCAGCTCTCCATCTTTCCGTTAATGCAGCCGACACCATCCACTACGAAAAAGCAACTCCATCACGCTTACAGCATAGTAAAAACATAAACGTGCCTGTATCTCCAAACTTTACAATGAAACATGGGGTTTTTAATAGAGCAATGGGCTCGGCTTGGCCAACAGCACCTTGTGTGAAAGTTTCGCGTTCAATGTCGCAAACAGCCCAAAAAATATTTTGGAGTCGTCGAAAAAAGTTTCAAGAGGTCGACCTCTGGATCCAGTTTGGCTGGTAGCGACATTGCGAAATCTGGGATCGGCAAGCTTGATCGTGAAACTACTACACAAGGTGCAGTTGGCCACGCCGAGCACATTGCTCTAATAAAACCCCACGTTTCATTGTAAAGTTTGGAGATACAGGCACCTTTACGTTTGTAAGCGTGATGCTATATGAGAAGTGGTCTTTGTTCATTGCCAAGTAGCTAGACCCTGGAGAGCCAAAGAGGCAGAAGGACCTCTTTGGGTAACTCAGCTAAAAAGTCAGGACTTCAGAGACAATGCATGAAAGGTACGCAACCCTCACTTTTATGTCATACATTGGCAGCTAATAGCCACTTTTGTGCATTCCCAACTTTTGTACATTCTATTGTAGGTGGACGATGCTCCTGATCTAGACATTCATTTCCATGATTAATCATTGATCAAACTGGTTGGTTGAGTTACGCTCACAAGGAATTACATCGGTTGAGCTACATCAGGCATTAATATGTCCCGGCAAGTGATGTAATCTCTCTTTGAGCGCAACTCAGTCAATCAGCTCGGATCAACCTACTTTATTCCTTAGGAGAGCGATGAGCAATTCCTCTGATGGATTCCGCAACAATACGATTGGATAAAGTGGCCGTTAGCTAGCAATACCTGTTCCTAGATGATCCGCTAAAGTAAATGCAATGACCCTTTCATTCATGCAAACCTAGCTGTGTTACACAACGACCCTCTACATCTTTTGCTCTGTCAGGGTGCTACTGCGCACACATTAAACAAAGACCACTTCTCCTATTAGCATCACCGGCACAAGCATAAAGAATAACACCAGCAATCTCCAAACTTTACAGACGACATTCGGTTTTGCTGAGGAGCAATGTGCTCGGCTTGGCCAACAACTTTTAGCGTGAGGGATTTCACGTTCAGTAATGGCGCTGGCAAGAAATATTTTTTGGTCGTCGTCGTTGAAAGAGGTCGACCCCCAGATCCAGTTTGGCTGGTAGCGACATTGCGAGAATCTGGGACCAGCCACGATCAACTTGAAACTTTCACACAAGGTGCTGTTGGCCAAGCCGAGCACATTGCTCTCATAAAAACCCCACGTTTCATTGTAAAGTTTGAAGATACAGGCACCTTTATATTTTACATATGCTGTAAGCGTGATGCTATATGAAAAGAGGCTGTTGTTCGTTGTAAAGTAGATAGACTCAAATAGAGCCAAAGATGCAGAGAGGCGTGTTTGTGTAACGGAGCCATTTTGCATGACTGAAATGGCCAATGTATGATACCATATACATTATCTATGATTGGCAGCTAACAGCCACTTCCTCCTAATCACAGCTTTTGTTCATTGTATGGCAGTGGAATGATGCTCCTGCTCCAGACGTTCATTTCCATCATTCAACTTTCTTGATCCGAGCCGATTTGACTGAGCTACGCTGGAACAACAAACACGAAAATTAATGAATCGCAGACCCTGCGAATGTCTCCGTCTTTCAAACTTTTGGACGCTCCCATTCCAAATTTTCAAATGAAGCGTGAGGTCTTTATTAGAAAAAGTTGATCAGCATGCTCGAGAGTACCCTTATGACCAATTTTCAAGTTGGAGGTGGACAACTTCGGGGCGGTGGGCCATCCGCTCTTTTGTTCGCGTCATCTACCATTTGGACGGCCCCGCATTTTAAATCTTCACAATAAACCCTGCGACTTTTAAATGAATGAAGTTGATATGCAGGTACCAGCAAACCTTCTGACCGTGTTTCAAGTACGAGATGTGGAATCCCAAGATAATACATACTATATCGATAAAACATGGATCTGGGGCTGACCTGCATTTCCGACTTACATAGTAAACCCCACATTGCACCCTCTCATTCCGATTTTTCAAATGAAGCATGAGTTCTTTTATGGATCAACGTGATCAGCATGTCCAAGAGCACCTTGTGTGAAAGTTTCACGTTCGAGAGGGGCAATGTCATAATCAAGAATTGATGTACAGTATTCATGCATTTATACAAGAGGTGTGCGACCTATTTAATCTCCACTTCTTCCACTCCCACAACTTCTTGTCTCTTCCTCCCATTCACAACTGTTGGCCCATTCAAGTATACAACTACCACCTGCGAACGATTGCTCTGCCTCAACGCATCATGTCAATCCTACAATTGTCTTGATCCGATTGTCTTTGGCTGAATGGCAAGTTCATGGGCGTGTACACTCCACTACAACACACGAGTCTCTTGACACAACACACGCTCTTGCACATTCCTCTGCCACAATCAAATGTTATAGCGTCCATTCCAGCAGTTGCTATTAGCGAGATCCACTCCATCGTCTCAAACAGCGTTCACATGCTTGCAGCCTACTACAACACACGCTCTTACACGCTTCTCTGCCACGATCAAGCGTGACAGCATCGCCAATACAAAGTCTTTACTTCAGTCGTCTCAAACAGCGTTCTTTACTTGCAACATCCTTTTTTACGTGAACAGCAGACAGCCGTTGTATAGAAGCAGCTTTATATACGTATAGCAACTTGCTTTGTTGCATACGAACTCCAATGGATGATGCCATATCAGCTATCAAGTACACCGCAATACAACGATCTTCATCTGGTTGAGCTACCATGAAAAAATGACCAAGAAAGAGATGATCAACAGCCGGATGGAAAAGGATGCATATCAGTAGCGATCACATGATGGCTCTTTATTATTGGACTTGCAATGGCTATGATGGAGGGGTGCAATCATGTGCAGTGATGGGGAATCCTGGAACGTTACTTTGGTTACTTGGCGCGTCGTCAGCAGGAACGATCACATGGATACGGCTGAGGATGATAATGGATGGGATGGGATTGTCGAAGGAAGGTGTTTTACAACCATGGATGATATTGGAGTACTCGAATCAATGCATGCAGTAGCTATTTTGCAATCATGGATGAAGGATGGTTATGACGGCAGCAACCAAGAGTACAATGACGCCATTTCCCTGTTACCTCTATATGATTCACAAGTATCTCATTCAGTTTTCAATGCTGTTCCTTAATTGATAAACATCCATACTATCATGTCCTACTCGTCGACTTTCTCATTGAATGAAATTGGGTTCAACGTAATTTGGGGGTATCATACTATCAGCTCATATGGTAAAAATGTGGATCACTTGGGTGATTCCTGGATTGAAAGGGAGGGAATAGAAATTGATGATTGGAAAGCGAGATTGGATCATTTGCATCGTCGTATCGAGGTGCTTTTGTTCTTTTGCCTCAACATTGTTACTACATTCGTTAAAGCTTTCTGGTTCACAAGCTAATAGATGAAAGGCAGTGCGGATTCTCGAACATCTGTATTGCATAGACATGATGGCTTGTTAAATAAGCTTGAGTCATTGTAAGCTTAATCAATTATGCTTAAGGAAGAGGGAGCTGTGACACATCTATATGCCACATAGTACATGAACATACCATGCTTAGCTATGAAAGTTTTCAGCTATCACTATCTCATACAACCTCATATAAGAACAAAGTATTTCAATCATAGGCGGATCTTACTATAGGCCTACAGGGGAAGGAACGTAACACATGATGCTATTTAAACCAAACGCGCATCGCAGCGATAATATTTATTATACAAAGCCAACATGTATTTGAATAACGTGTTTGTCTAAGTGAGTGGGTGACTATTTACAAAAACGGTTCCAGTTAATCGCACGATGACGACGAGGAGATGTATCTGACAATGTTGCAAGGGGAGCCATTGAAGGTCTATTATTACGAAACATCCATCAGCCTTGTAAGTCTCTTTTTCCTATACAATAGAACCTCACCTGCCATGAACACATTGAAAAGGGAATCGGCATTGTGATAAAGCATGTATCAGTGCACAGCATTGATCGTGAGTAAGGACATCATTGAACATGATAGCACCCCGACAAGCTGTTGATCGCATGAGCTGCATCATCCCTGGGGGACAAGTACGCAAAAAGGCAAAGGATTCTGATTCCGGGTCTGTGACATGTTGTTGATTCTTTTCGAGCCAATGGATGTATTCTCGTATCATATCCCCGAGCAATGAATGATTGGCAAGGCATCGTTCAGCAACGACATGGGGTAATCGTGTCACCAAAGCTCCCTGGTTTTGCCGAAAGTGAGGTGATACATCGGGTGTTGCAAAATGGGGCGATGCAAATAATATCGTTTCGACCGATGCGCGACGTTGCTGTTGCTGTTGTTGCTGTTGTGGTTGGTGTTGCAGAGAAAGGTGGATACCCCATCGTTGTAAATGATCCACGTATTTGGTTGCTAGCTGACGTTCTTTGTCAGTAAGGTCGATAGGGATAGGTGGTTCGAGTTGAATGACTTGTATAGTGTCCTTTAAAGACCATAGCATTCTCTCCAGTTGTACTCGCTCATCCGCAGCATGTTGATCCACCATAAGTAAAACACGCTCCACCTTAATAGCGATAAACTTGCTATCGACTTGACCGAAAACCTCTGCATCTTTCAGGCAATCCTTGTGAAGTCGTTGAGGTATATGCAAAATATTGGGTTCTGTGGATGGGCTCAATGCTTTGCTGCGAAGATGTGATCGATCAACATAGGACTGGGATCCACGATTTTGTATTTGGTATAGGTTGCCATTGATAGGATCACGCCAACTGATAGGCGATACTTGTCTTGAATGGGTTGCCGCGGCATTTGGGAAGGAGGAGATTGCTTGCTTATCGAGAAAACGCTGATACGATGTGCTGGTGATGAAGCCATGGGATCGTAAAAAGTTAGCTGTCAACAAGCGAATTGCTTTTTCCAACTCTGAATGAATCTATGACATGCTTTAAGTATGCCATCTGCCACCCACATGCAAACAAAGACTTACCCCTTTATGTTCAGGCACAGCGTCCCGATAGGTGATGATATCATATGTGCTCAGTAAAGGATGCTCCACATGAATCACAAATACAGGATGCTTATCCACAACGTTTCTACCTATGTTACACCGGGTTACGATGATGATGATGCAACGCTCTTAAAAGACACTTACTTTTTGTTTTCCCCTTCTGAAGTTGGAACCCATCCTATCAGTGATTTACTGATTAACCTTAAATGCCACTCTATGTGTAACTCTCCCATTTTTACCTGGTCCTTCATAATGGAGCTCTCATTGAATACATCAGAGATTATCTTGTAGACTTCATTTTGAGGAATGTGAATGCGATTGACAACTACATAGGGGTAATTAGAGACGTATCATTCACTTACCATATACGATTATAATATGTACTTACATAGATATTGGTGGGCCTTTATCGGGAAAGAGAGACATTTAAGATTCAAGATCTCGTCAAGTGACCTCTTCTGTTTTGGCTACAAACCTTGCTTGGATACGGAATGATCCCGAAGAAGCCTTGCATCTTGATACTATCGTAATAGCATTCGTATGGGCGTATGTTCTAATGTTTATGTGAATCAAAGTCCAGTGGTTAGTAAGTCACTTGTTTGGTGCTACCAATCGACACCCATCGAATTCACCTGAGCGAATGGTTGGCCGAAAACTTGGCGGAAAAGACTCATGTCTGAGGAACACTATGAATTGCCATATTAAGACTTATCATGGATCCCGCTGTGAGGTCATGAGACCGTTTGGTTACCCTTTTGGTGGAAAGAATCTTTGTGTCACGGTCAACCACAGAAAACCCAACATGAGGAAAAGCGAGAGCTGTTGTAATGACGAAGCGTTTGATGGCCCGATCCGTAAGCGTGAGGATACGTCGCCTAGCAGGAAACTACAGAATATTCGCCACCCCTTTGTAAGTAAAAGACAACAATGAAGCACACTTTTCATTATCATTACCTTGAAGAACAAGTCTCGGAGGGTTACTGTTGTACCTGGATTTTGGCGTTCAAGGCATGTGGCTGTTTCGATCAATTTACCATCCTAAGCGTTGACAATAAGTATGAATATGGAGTGTGTGTGTGCTTTTCCCACAGTGCAATTACCTTCCAGATCGCCATCGCTGTTTGATTAGCGTACCGTGAGACAATTTGAAGAATTCCAAGTTCAGCTAGATTGGCCAATGCTGATAAAGAAGCCAATAAGAAACCAAGAGAATGTTTCCTCCTTTCCCCACAGAACAAAGAAAAAAAAGATGTCTCACCTTCACCCCGGAATCCAAATGTGCTGACTTGTTGAAGATCTTGAAGGCTATGGCATTTGGAGGTCACTATACAATAGCATCATTATTATTAGTCTCACTTTTATGATCCATCATCATGCCCAAAAGACCCACCGTGTCGTTGTGCCAAACGTGGTAATATATCAGAGCGAATGCCATTTCCATTATCTTGGACACAAATATAGTACTTTTCAGCGTCAAAGGCGATATCAATGAGAGTTGCTTGTGCATCCAATGCTACGTGAAATGCATGTGTGAGACTTGCATGGTTTCATAGAAACAAGGTGCTGCATATACCGTTGTAAACCAGCTGCTCCAGACATTGCTGTAATGTGGTAATGTGCTGTGTTCTAAAGTCGATGCCAAGCCCCAATGCGTGTCATTGAGTGGTTGCTTAGAGTCTTCCAAGGAGTTGTCTTACGCTCGGAGTTGGTTTGCGACGCTTTGTTCCAGTGGCTCCACCATACACGGTTTGTGGTTTGTTCCCGGAAAACAAAGAAGCTGCAGCCGGCAGCGGGTGCACTGTCTTTGAATCTTTGTACTACCCTGATTGAGTTTACAACGTCATGATTCTTCCTCCCAAAAAGGAATCTTTGTTTCCCACCAATCCAACATCTTGTGCTCCAATGGCTGTCAAATAATCCCATTCCATGATCGGGGAGGTCTCCTCCCAAGTGTATAAATACATGGCCTCATTCCATTCTTCCCCAGCCCCCTCCACCTCTACTATTAATAATAATGTCACACTTGAAACCTGAACCCAAATACCAAGTGGAAGCTGAACATCACGAAGAACAGTTATCCATCGATTGTGAAAAGTCTGTTCAAGAAATCCAAATCGAACATGTCCCTGAAGGTACCACCGGTGCTGGAAAGGCTCTTTTCATGTTGCTTAAAGCTTTCATTGGTACTGGTGTCATCTTCTTGCCTGGATCGTAAGTGCTACCACTATAAAAACAAATGAATCATGTCCTAACAAATCTTTACAGCTTCAAGAATGGTGGTCTTGCCTTGTCAATCGCTTTGATTATCATCCTCGCTATCATTTGTACTATTGCTTTCCAATTGCTTGTAACCGTTCAAGCCCAAATTGGAGGTTCCTATGGTGACATGGCTGGAACTCTTTATGGTCGTTATGCTCGCTACACTGTTCTCTTCTTCTTGATCATCTCGCAAATGGGATTTGTCGCCTCCTACCTCATGTTCGTTTCTCAAAACATCAACTTGGTTGCTGAAGCCCTCTCAAGTTGTAATCCACCTTTCGAGAGCAAATATTGGATCTGGATCGCTTGTGCCATTGTCATCCCTATCACCTGGGTTCGCAAAATCGCTCGTCTTTCATGGTGTGCCATCATTGCTGATGTCTTTATCGCTTTTGGTCTTATTTGTGTCCTCTACTATTGTGGTGCCCAAATCAACACTCATGGTGTCGGCCCTGATATCATTATTGTCAATCAACGAGACTTTGGCCTTATGATTGGTACAGCAGTCTTTTCTTTTGAAGGCATCGGCATGGTGATCTCTGTCGTTGAAGGCATGAAGGATCCCAAAAAGTTCCCAAAGGTGCTCAATATTGGCATGGTGATTATTACCTCTGTCATGGTCCTCATTGGTACAATCGGCTATATTGCTTATGGCGACGAAGTTGAAGCTAGCGTTGTCTCCAATCTTGCCACCGAACCCCTTTCTGTTACAGTGCAGCTGTTGTATGCTATTGCTATGATCCTCTCATCTCCTTTCATGCTTTGGCCCCCTATCAAGATTATCGAACGTGGTATCTTTGGTACAAAGCGTAGTGGTCAGCTCTCTCTCAAGTGGAAATTCTCCAAGAATTTCGTACGCTCTCTCATCCCTATTGTCTCGGCTGCTGTAAGTTTCGGCGTTGGTGCTGACAACCTTGACAAGTTTGTCTCGTTGGTTGGTATCGTCGCTTGTATGCCTCTTTGCTTTATCTTCCCTGGCATGTTCCATCTCAAGGTTGGCAAGAACATCTGGCTCAAGATCATTGATATTATCTTAATCCTCTGGGGTTTGGGTATCATGGGCTACACGTAAGCATCTTATTTTACAATCTTTACACTTTAAGCACCTCTCAACTCACATTTGCTTTTTCTTTCTAATAGCCTTTATGTCAACATTGAGTCTTGGCTCGGTCCTCAGTCTGCTGCTGAACACGTCTGCCGCTCCATGTATTAAACAATATCCCTTAGCTACCCCATTATATACGCTGTTGTTGATCAACGCCCCTGTACATAGCTTCTTCCCTTGTTATTTATATGTTTAACTTTTGTATTGTTTGATCACCCTAAATGAAAAGTATTTTGTCCATATCACTATTTGCCATGTCCTGCTGCTATCTCAAACAACCACAATAAGGGCCTGATTACAAAGCACGTGTATAAGAATATTGTAACGGCGACATTAACCGTTACCTATCTGCTGGTTTCCCACACCCCAATGTAGATCACAGTCCGCTTATCGATTCATCCCATCAACAACAAATTTCATCTGTGTACCATAACCTTTTTTACGCGGGAAGAGTAGAGATGAAATAAAATCATGATTGCAATATATTACAGATAGGTCTATCTACTTTTTCAATGTACGCTGTTTCTCGGCGTGTTCCACTAGCTTTTTCTCAACAAACATGCCCTTGCGCTTACGCACCGTGTCCATGTACTTTTTGGCAAGGTTCTCCTTGTCAGCCTTCTCTCCCAAATCCTCGAGCTCTTCTTCAGTGGTGGGCACCCAGAAGGGATCCTCATCCAACATTTCAAATCTAGAGAATTTTCGGTTAGCAAAAGGTGCATAGAAATCGAGAAGAAAATAAGAAATTACCCGCTGAAGACCAATTGTGGACTGGCAGCACCAGATGTACGCTTGCGGATTTCTAGGAAATATGGTTAGGAGCAATCCTTGTCACTTTTATAACCACCGACATACCATCCGAAAATCCAAAACTCTCAATAACAGGCATCAATGCTTTGATTTGCCAGAAGGGTGTACCATCCTTGAGATCCTCAGAGATGATCTTGCCTTTACGTTTGGAAATAACTCCATAGACACGACCAAGTACTTCAGCTATAACGCGTACTCAATAAATTGCATACCCAACGCACAAAAGGGAGAACTTACCAGATGCTTGAATATCACATTCATACATGGCCAAGAATAATCGTGGAGACCAATCGAGAAAGCCTTGTCGACATGCTTCTTTCATTGCTGAAATAACCTTTCCTTGGATCAACGCCAATCGTGAACGCACTAGACATAGCATTCATGATAAGCATAGGATCCTCCTTGATACCATTATCCTATTTTCACTTACCATCAGCGCCTTCGGTTTCCTCTCGATGGAAATCAACCCCTTGTACAATATAGCAAACACCTTGCACAGGCTCAGCACATAATGGACCTGTCAATGTTGAAAGCTGGAAGCCGGTGTGGATGGGGAAATCAACGTCCAAAATACCCAGTGACGTGCTATCATTCTGCTGTTCAGCTGCCACTTCCAATACTTCATCTTTGTGATCCTCTGTCACGCCTTGTTGAGCTGTGGATTCTTCCACTTGAAAGAATGGCTTTCGTACATAACCCGGAATGCGATTTACGAGTATATTGGGACCAATACGCTTGGGACCAAAAGACCAAATCCTGTTGAAAAAGCAAATAAATACAACAAAATCATCCACCCATGGAATGATGTCAACTTACTGATCCACAATGCCGTCCCATAAACCTGCTAGAGGACCACCTTGCTTTTGTGCCTCCGCAAACTTTTCACGCAACGTCGTTTGGAACTCTTCAGCCGACACAATCTTGTCACCAGCTTCCATTCCAGTGGGTATCTGCTCCAATCCTTCCTCACTTTCTTCGGTATGCTTCGACTTCTTTTTGGCCTTTTGATCAACAATGGATTTGATGGTGGCGGTGTGCTGTACAAGATACTCGGTCACTGAAGCTGGTAAGGGCACCGCACGAACATTGAGAGTGATGTTCTTGGATGATGATTCGATCTCAAATAGGCCACGTGGTACGGCTCCATGGTCAGTTTCACGGTTGGCTGGTAGCTCTATTATAACATGATAAGAACCCATTTCTTTCCTCATCATGTAACCAATCCCTTACCTGAATTCACAATGCTCTCGCGGAATGGTACAATAGGAGGTGATACATGGATATCAATCTTGGCAAACCGCTCCTTGAGATCACGCAAACATCGTTCCAAATGTAATTCGCCTGCTGTCAAGATCACATGCTCGCCCGTTTCTTGCAACAACACCTCGACACAAGGATCGGCCTGATTAAGCAATTGCAAGCCTTCCACAAGCTTATCCATATCACGTGCATCAACAGGCTCCAAAGCGACACGAACAATGGGCGATGCTTCTTTGCCAACACCCACCATGTTGACCACATTTTCCTTGGTGCTTGCCAATGTGCCATTCTTGAGAATGTGACCTTCAAGACCACCAATACCAAAGACGTTGCCTGCTACCACCTCTGGAAGCGCTTCAAGTTCACGACCCATGATCAAGTACAAGTTCTGGACAGTGATTTCGGAGCAGTGTCTATCAGGGAAGCGAGGATCATACTTGGGTCCCAACACGTAGAGCTTTTGACCAACACGAATCTTGCCAGAGTAAAGACGAGCAAAGCCGATGATATGCTCACTCTTTGTATCACCGTTGGATGTTGCTGTATCCAATGCTTCGTCCGTTTCACCCATCATTTCTGCAACAGATGCTTCAATTGCTGCCTTATCGAGAGGAACACCGGCATCAAGATTCTTTTCCTCCAATTGAGCACGCAACTCTCTCTGTCGTCGGCCACGTTCACGCATTTCTTCAGCAGTCAATTGCTTTCTTCTGTTCTCTGGTAAAAGCTCGGATGGGACGGCAAACATCTTACTGACATAGGCGACAGCAGGTGCATCATCGGATGTATCACATGAATACAACGCCTCTTCAACATTGTCGGTGGGTTTGGGTGGCTCATTGTCGTTGAATTGAATCTCGGGATATAACATCTTTGGTATGCGAACACGTTGAGCATCCACAGGGGGTGGCAATTGACCAATGATGGCTAATAATACGCAAGTCGATAGAGGAAGCCATTGAGAAAAGATAGCTGCCAAGAGCGTTTGCGTATCACGTGAACGTAAATCGCGAGGTAGCACCTTGATGTTGAGAGATGACACGATCTTTTCAGTTCTTTCACGATTCCTAATGTCATTCAAGTTATAAAAAAGCTATTATAAAACCCACATCCCATCCATTTACTTACTGTGTTGTCACGCTATCATACACAGCCCAAATGTTGTCAAGAACGAATTGCACAAACATTGGCTTGAGACTTCGACCCTTGAGATGTTTATGCTGGATGACTCGCTTGGCCTTTGGATCAAAGTAGAAGTCGCCCCAAAGACATTTCTGCAATACGGATTCCTTGAAACCAAGCTTCTTAAAGTAAATGCTGGCAAATTGCTGGATACTACATGTACGCATTTAGTATCATCGATCCACCATAATACAATCAACGAGAGAAGCGTTACTTACCGAAAAGCCCAACCATCCACAGCACTAGCAAAGATGACATTGCCTCTTGTAGGATCAAAGTAGATATCCGAATCATCACGTTCCCAATCAATGCCATCCTGTTCCTGATTATTCTCGGCTTCGAGCTTGCGTGCTTCATCCTCCATGACATCTCCCGTATAAAATGTTGCCATGATAGCGTTGACTTGCTCGAGAATGCGATTGAGATGATTGTATGCTTCGAGTGGTGTGAGCTTGAGTTCCACAATGAGACGATCCATCTTGTTGAACACGAGAATAGGGCGCACCTTGTCGATCCAAGCTTGTCGTAGTACTGAAATGGTCTGCGTGCATACACCTTCGACGACATCCACAAGCACAAGGCCTCCATCACAAAGACGAGATGCTGTTGATACTTCAGACGAGAAATCCACGTGACCAGGTGAATCAATCAAGTTGATTAGGTATTCGCTTGCGATCGCCTTGTCGCTGCCATCAGGCTGCTGCACAGCTCGTACTAGTTTGAAATAGAGACTGATCGCGCTTGATTCCATTGTGATGCCACGCTCTTGTTCGTCTTCTCGGGAATCCAAATATCGCACCTTGCCCGCCATTTTGGAGGATATAATGCCATTGGTTGCAAGCAGCGAATCGGAAAGCGTGGTCTTGCCATGATCGACATGAGCCAATATACAAATGTTGCGAATGTTCTTGACGTTCTTCTGCAGTGCCGAGAGCTGGGTAGGTGTAATGGCGGGCATTGCAGTGTCGAACAAAAGAGGTGGTGAGTAAAAAGAGTGTAATAGAACAAGTTGCCGCAGCACCGCGGTCACGACAGCGGCATGGATTCCCTATTTATATGGAACAATGGCACCCATTCTCAGCTGACATCCCACATCAAATCCTTACTGCGGCAACATACACACTCACTATTACTGCGGCTATGGATCCCTTCGGTTTGTTCTATTAGCTTGCTCTCCTAAAATAGTCACGATGTCTTCCTTTTGTTTCTCAATTGACATGCTGATTAGTAAATGATATGGATACTACTTCTTGTTGCCTACGTATGCCGCTAAATGATCAATTACAGAAGCGTCAATCCATTACACTCAATAAAAAGACACTCACATTCATCCTAAATTAAAGCATTGCCATATGAATACCTCTCCAGCACTAAAATCTGATATTTATGTCACGTCAAATGAACAATAGCAAGCGCCAACCAAAAGCCCGATGTACAGCCATTGTAATCATGCTGCATTTTCATTGCCAAGAGAATAGGTTCAACCCACAAGCATCATTCTGCTCCTGGGAATTGTTAAGTGATGACGTTCATTGGTATTACTAAGAATGGTCGCCACCACACAGACATTTGGACTTGTGACATTGTTCCCAACGGCGCTTAATTTGCTGCAATGATGATAAAGGACAGCATTACCCACCATTTTTACCTCCTCCTCAGTATAATACTACTATTGTTGTACCCAAAGTTCTATTGAAGAATGCGTCCATTGCATTTGTTTACGTAGCTACCTTGGTTACATCACTTTGAGATACCAATTAAATCATGAAGATGATATTGCCTTTGACATGTTACCATGGTAACCCAACATTTGGTGTCGGTAAGGTGGTTGCTCGCTAAGGATTCACATGAAAAATGAAGCGACAAGCAAACTCAATAAGGCAGGTGTCACTGCGGAAGCGGACCGACAACCATAAGATGTCCCAGCATCTGTGTATGGGGTACATTGAAAAGGCTCTGGTGGTGTATGCTTGCTGTAAACAAGACCAATCATATGATGGATGAAGGTTTTATTTCCATTCCGTTGCCAGGGTCCATCATATGTAAATTACAAAATGATCAAAGAGGTATTGAATAGGTGCATTGACGTTGATGCTTGCTTGCTCTTTCATAATTCAACCGACACATCCATAAATTAAAAGCATGGACACATCCATAGTTATCATTCAGATACTGGGACGATTTATTTGACTCAATTCGAATTCATGTCGCTAAGGAAGAGAGAGAAAAAGGGCACGTTGCGGATTAATATCCTATTTCCCAGTCAACCAAGACCTCCCACACCCCCCAATGTGATGCGGGCTTTTCGATAGTTATATAAATTGAGAACCAGTAGAGCCAACCAACATACAAAGCCCTTTCTGCAGCAATAGACTCGCTATATGACAGCTCAAGTGCAAGCGAAAAAGAAGAGATTGTCCATCAAGAAGATCGATCGTCGATTTGCCCACATTCAGCCTGAAGGCAGCTGGGAGATTCCACGCAAGGCGTTCCATTACTCTATCGGTAAGTCATTTGCCACAAGAGCAGGCTTATTTGTATTTCTGCACAGTGCGTTGTATTTGTTTTGCTTATCCCGAACATTAGGATTCCTAGTTGTCTATCTATATATGCAAGGAGTCGAGGCCAAGAGCATATACCCACCGCTTATTGCTTTCTTGAGCGTCGTCTTGACGACCGAGGTGATGCGATTTTCATCCGATAGCTTCAATGTACTCTATTGCAAAGTATGTGGACCACTGATGCGTCAAAGTGAAGTCAAATCACGGATAAATGGTGTAGCATATTATCTAGCAGGCAAGTACATGTTTTACCTATCCTACAAGCCATCTAATATTAGCTTTATAGGCTGTATTTTCGCAACTTACTTCTTCCCAACGGAGATTGCATCCATGTCTATTATCTATTTGTCATGGGCGGATCCAACAGCCAGCATTTGCGGTCGATTATGGGGTCGATACACACCACGATTCGGTAAAAAGTCGTTGGCAGGAACATCGGGTGCTATCATCATTGGTGCGCTCGTGACTTTTGGATTCCTCATCCAACATGAATCGTTGTCGCGTGCACTCGCATACTCTGTATACGGTGGCCTTGTGGCAGGTTTCTCCGAAGCCCTGGGTGACTCAGCTGGTCTGGACGACAACTTGGTGATACCTGTTGTAAGCTCTATCATGTTGTGGATACCTCTCGTAGGTTTAGATTCCATGTATTCTTCCTCTGTTATTAATGCTTAACCATAATAATATACTCAATTTGACGAGATATGGAGAAGAAGGATGAATGGGATTCTTACTGCTGAGAAAGAAAGGAGAAGAGCACCACATGTGTCTCTTGTTGGTATATGTCACGAGGATACATGTTTCAATCTGATGATGCAAGCGTATACTCACCGCCTGTAACTTGGTCTCTAAATGAAAAAAAAGAATGATCTTCAATCCCCCTTGGAAACAACATTTATGTTTTTTCGTTATCTTGTGTGAGATCAATCATGATGGTGATACATTTGCTTCACAGGCATGGATGGTTTCTTTATATGGATATCCATATTGTGTTGCAAAAGTTGCTTTATGGCTCTCTTTTAATGTTATCCTCTACAAAAAATTGGACATGCACTGGCATAGTGGTATGCTGCATTTGTTTAGCATCGATCATGCATTGTTTTTCATTCGTGAATATCATCCAGCAGGTCAATGCTTGTACCTTGTTATGATTTTGTGCTACCTCCCTGTTGTCTCTTTGTTACCATTATAGATACACACATTGGAGATTTACTTTTTGTAACAATGAAACATGGCTTTTTACATGCACAAGATAGCTTTTACTTTTATCCATGTGAGAAATAGTGGATGTTAATATGGGCTGAACCGTGCGTTACCATGTCACACGATGTGTGAGTGATGAGCCCGGTGAATGGGGGAAGTGTGTGGCGGTGGCTCTATTGGTTCATTAGCATGAGCATAGAGCCGTGCCTTGTTTTTGGTTTCCCTTTAATGGGCCCGAGTATGAAGTCATCACTTGATCACAAGACAAATGCATTTATCCAAACTTGGTCCCTGCCCCTTGATATATCGCTGGCAGTGTTTCACACCATGTAAGCGGGATAATGCTATTTCTCACAATTGGGACACATTACGATGCGATAAGGTAGGACAATGATTAGAAATAGAAAACAAGTATCTTTGTTGTAAACGGCTCAACATGATTACAGAGATGATTTTTTATGAGAGGGTGTGTGTGTGTGTGTGTGCGTGTTGTTTTAGATAAAGAGATACAAAAGAAGGGAAAGAACTCGAAAAAGAAAACTTTTTTTGACAAAAAGGGATGGCTGTTGGTGGGATGACGAATTGAGAGAGTGAGAGAGAGAGATAAAGAGGAGACGACGATTAAGATGATTTTGGAATACTGATCAATGAAGGAAACTCAAAAGGTGTCAGGCGACGATCACCAGGTTGTTGCTGCTGCGACGACGATGATGACGACGATCTTGCAGTGATGGAATTATTGGATGTTGTAGCCGTTGTTATAGGTGGAATTGGACCTGTATCTTCCATAACGAATGGACCCTCGTCATCCATGAATGGGGAAAAGGAATCGTTATCGAAAAGCCGATTGTTATTCGTGCTGCTGCTACGGGTTTCATCAAAGAACCCTGTTCCTGTACCGATATTGGATCGGATGTGATGATGACGACTGGTACCTGGGATGTTGATGGCAGAAGGTTCTTCATCGGTGAAATAATCAGATCGATTTGTCAGCCGTGTTGGTTGTTGTTGTTGTTGTTGTTGTGATGGCCAATCAAGAGGAGAGCGCATTGATGGTGAGTGCAAGTGATGTTGTTCTCGTGCTCGACGCATTTGTAGCTCTGTTGGCGTCAACAATTCATTCAAGGAGGATGGTAACATGGCATCGTTGAGATCATTATCATCGTAATAATCAGCGAAACCACCTGTGGGTGTGGAAGAAGGAGCTGCAGCTGCTGCGGCTGTCAATGAACCATAGCCATAATATTGACCAGAAGACTCGGGGATACTGTGCAGGCGGGATAAGGAGGATGAAAGCATTGAGGTGGATGACGGATGCAAAAACAAGGAGCGTTGTTGATGATAGCTATCGGGTGACATGCCATTACCCCCATTCATCATGTATGGTCTTGCATCCGCACTACTCGATAATTGATGGTGCTGCTGCTGCTGCTGATGATGATGATGGTGGTGGTGGTGGTGGAAGCCATGCGTTGTGGTGGTAGAAGAAGTGGAAGTGCTGATAGGGTTGGTATTGCTGGATGTTGTTGCACGTGCAGGTGAATACATGTGAGGACCAAAATCAAGCGGGCTCCCTACAGGTGGCGAGCGAGCAACAGCAGCAGCAGCCGAGGGACCACGTAATAATTTACGACCATCAGGAGCATAAGCCGACATGGTGTGAAGTAAAGCACACTTGGATCCAAACTTGCAGTTGCCTTTCAGGTAGTACTTGCAAACAGCCGATTCCGATGTCGGGTCAGGGTTGTGTGAAAATATGCAGTTGGCGCCAGCTGTACAGGTCCCTTGTTTAAAGAACTTGCAAGGCACATGCGATAGATTCGATGCTATAAACCCCACACCATTTAATAACAACATACTTCCTTATCATCATCCTCATCCTCATTCACACACATACACACACACACACTTACGTTTACTATTATTGCCATTATTATTTTGCTTGGATGACGGAGGATGATCATTTGAGTTTCCCGGCAACGGAGGTACGGGTCCTTGTTGGCTGCGAGACCTCTTGAGTTGGAAAGGGGGGAGACGAGAAGGTGAGCTCTTGGAGAGTTGGTTCAGACTAAGCCGGTCAAAGCTTTCCAATAGATTAGGTGTCAAGGAATTGTCTGCCATGGTCGAATGAGAAGAGAAAAAGAGAGAAAAGGGTGGTAGAGTAGCTGAGATTGCAAAGAAGACAAATATACGGGGAAACGTGTGAGTAGTGTCGTTGTTGTTGTTGCTTGTCAAGGACAACTGGTGCCTGCTTGGTGTTTAGAAAGGTCGCTTGCTATCCTTTTGACAGCATGCAATTGTGGGTTTGGTACAGAGAGATGAGAGAAAGGTCAAGGAATTAGAAAAGAGTGAGAAAGTAAAGGAAAAGAGAGTTCACACTGGATGTTGCGCGTTCGCACAAAAGGAGCAGGTGCACCTCTCCATTCGGCAACAGTTACACACAGCCGACTTGCCCCTTGCTTTCTTTCATACTCTTTTACTTTTATTATTACTATTACACTACATCACATTCGCTATGCATTCATTTCTCCTATCATCCATCAACTCGTTCACATCATATCCAAATCTTGTAATTTCATTATACAACCACTACCTTCTTGTGGGGAACAGGAACCACGCTATAACGTGCACGGCTCACATTCAACATCAATATGCATTTATAACCCACATCCTGAAAGTCACAAGATCTTGTTGAATGAGCATTACTATCAAGCTTTTCCTATTCACAGGAACACATCCATTTCCACTATGATACAACAATGCTTGTTTCCCCACAATCTTTTAGATTTTGATGTCTGACTTGAACAACCTAGGTGATCAGATCACTTTGTGATGATACATTATTGGTCAATCATCATCCTCTGCAGATCTGGGCTTGTTTCCCCGACCCCGCTTGTCTTGCGAATGCGTCAAGTTGACGCATGCACAAGGATCTCTGTGTATTAACCCATAAGCTTCGATGTTGTTGTATGTAATGTTATTGATTGTGCTCATTTTGGGAACATGGCAGGTGTTTCATGCTAGTAGTAATTGTGTAATTGGCTTTGTGAGTACTATAAGCACCTATGAATAAACATCATAGCAGCAGCCCCTCATGCCAAAACAACGCTTCTTAATGAAGCATGCATAGCTAACTCCACTTTTATCCTTAGGGTTGAAGTTTGAATAGCTGCAGGATGACATGGAATATGCCCTCGTTTCTAAAACTCATTCCCACACTCCCCTTAACAAGTTGAAATCCCGGATAAACATAGGTTGGGGGATACTTTATATAGACAACGAGAAGCTATTGCTGCCCTCTCCCCAAAATTTCAATATGCACCGTGTCATGAAAGAGAAGGATCACTTGAACAGTTTATTAGTATGGGATGGATGATGATGACAAGGATATCATCCGCAATGGTAGAGAAAACACACGTATACATTGATTATATAGCAAAGAAGAGAAAAAAAAAGGAGAAAACATCTGACAAATGTAAAAGGGAGAGGGAGGGGATCAAAACAGTAAAAAGATGAATCAAGATAATGGGCAAGCAAATCCACCCGTAGCTGGGGTAGCAATCACTGTGGGCTTGTATCCAACCCAATCGAGTCCAAAGATGTGGAGTGTGATCCAAAAATGGAGTTGCAACGACTCACGTTCTGGTTGCTCGGTAATAGTACGGTTGGTTTTGGCATCATGGTATGTCTTGGGTGGTTGTTGAATACAAGCTTTTTTCAAGTTGGCAAACGTAGTATCGGTATCGTCACGTGCTTGATAATCCAATACCACGGGTAATTGAATGGTGGAGATGTCTGAGGCTGGCAATACCATGTCATTGGATACATCGCTTGGCCCTTTACCAATTACTTGACCCGTCAATGCATCTTTGGCAAGTACATCAATATGCGTCAAATGCGTAGGCACACGATTGGATCGATTATCAACAGTGACATTAACAACCCATTGGCTTTCAAAAGCAACATTGCCAACCATCACATTTTGATGAGTCTCGGTCAATTTGGGTCCAGAAACCAATGAGGCACCTTCAATACGCATCAACGGTGTACGTGGCCATAGTATATACCCGGTGGCGATCATAAGGATAAAGACAATGAAAATGCCAAAAACCCAACCTCGACGTCCACATGATAGGCCAGCTTTGCCATGCTGCTTTTTGTTTTGTTGTTGTTGTCGTTCTTGTTGTCGTCGTCGTTTACGTTCTTCATGCATTAAACTACGTTCGCCACCACCACAACTCAAGAAACAACATCCAATCCATACACCTCGTGGTGGTGGAAGGTCGTCTTCATAGTGACTTATCGTGCCTGATTCTTCACGACCCATATCACGCCATCGATGCTGTTGTGTTGCTTTCTTTTCAGAGTCGTGATGTTGATCCACCGTAGAGGATGAGCATGAGTTATCGGTATAGTAATCGGCTACCGAATAATCAGCACTATCTTTTTTATGCTTCTCTTGGGATCCTGGAGATGGTGATTGTACAAGCGTATCTTGACTACCAAAGGGTCGACTATATCGACGGCCATTCCATGCACTATCAGGGGGTGCTGCCAATGTACTTGGAAGTGTAAGGTCAAGGTTTAATTGACTCTCGAAGGTATCGCCATTGCCATCATCATTGTTGTTATTTGGATTTCGGGTTGATGACTCCAATGGATGCACTTGATTTTGTGTGGATGCTATTTGAAAAGGTTTGGTTAGTATTATTGCTATGAGAAGGAGCCCTTTGAAGGGGTGCGTGTGTGTTGTGTATGTCTCCTACGGTACCTGGTGATGAATTTTCAGTGGCAGTAGGTTGATCATCATCCACGGTGCGTATGCTTGAAAAGCTAGGTTTTCGATCCTTTGTAAACATATCGGCAATGGTCAATCGATTAGGATCAGGTTCCACTGATGGCGATAATGATTGTTGGTGGGATGATGGTGTTGATGTGCTATTGGACATTTCGCTTGTTGATGCTGCAATGCTAGATGCTCTGCTTGCTTCTTGATTTTTCAAAGGTGATGGTGAGCGTGGATAATTAGGTGACATGAATTGGTCCGCAATCGATAATCGTGGCACAGCTGGTGCTGGTGCTGATGGTCGTCGAATGTCGTTATGTGAAGATGTGTTACCAGGCTTGAGTAAACTTCCACCTGATGCTCGACGTGGTGCTGTTGATACTCTAGGTGGTCTATCTGATGGTCTACGTAATGAAGGTCGACGACGCCCACCATTTACGCCAGCACCCCCACGCTCAGATCCGCGTCTAGTGATAGAAGATCCACCGCCGCTTGGCTGACGGCGGTGATGTGTGGCTACCATTATGTCAATAGAAGAAGAGAAATAAGAAAAGAGAAGAAAAGACAAGGGAAATGAGTTTGTATCCAGGATTATCTTCTCATGAGGAGAGGAGGTGAAGATGGGGGTTTCCTAATAATCCCGTCCGATAAGGAGATGCCTGAGTGTATGTTTAACATCTTGTGTAAAAACACCCTTTGTAGGGGGAGTCAGATCAAGAAATCCCAGTAGTACATTATTACAGCTACACTGATGCCAAATATTATTTGTGATTTGCTTTCTTCTTTATCCCCTTAGATGCTGCTCCCCTTATTTATCATGCGTCTTCGGCCGTGCACTTGGTAGGCGGGAAGTGATGCTTCCATTTCCGTCACCCAACTCATGGTCATCATCCTAAACGACAACCATGACATCCAATACTTTGATTCTTCCTCTCTCAAATCCTCTCCTAGAACATCTCCTATTTTCTAGTAGCGCCTTTTTTTTCATCTCTTCTGCCCATGTGTAATTGAAATGACTTGTACAACATTATTGGGTTCATGCAAGCGCCGCTACTATGCATACAAGTGAAGCATAATCTCTATACTACTACAATAGCCATGTGCTTGGATCATTTTTCTTTCTCAGTTCATGGAAGCCAGTAACTGCTTCATAAGGAGTAATGATATTGACAAATGCATATGACGCCACCATCACACCATCATAATCACCAGCATTTTGAATCATATGGTTTGAGTGAGAGAGTGTTTATAGAGAATGGTGGTTTATACATCCCTGCTCAGGTTGACAACGAAGACAATAGGGAGGAGGATGAAGTAGACTTGAGATGGCTGGGAGCTGTGGTATGTTGAGAAGATGTAATATTGTAATTGAAGACGAGTGATTGAATATCTATTCTATCTCATAGAGACGTAAAGAAGGCAAGTAGAGGATGGATGTAGAGAGAAAGAGAGGGAGAGCCGAAAATAGCATTTGGGACAATTAACAGGTGCCTTCATCCAATCACAAGTCAACTGCCAAATGATTGTGTGCCCTCGTCGGCCTCACTCCTTCCTCGTTCTCTTCTCCTTGACCAACCCATTACCTTCATTTAGCGATCATGCGCTTTTCGACTTTGGGAGCTCTGCTGATCACCACTGCCCTGAACCTTGTGAGCGCTCAAGACCAAGTTTCAACCATCTCGAATCAAACGACGCCTCTCATCTCGAACTATGGCGACTCGTTTAAAAACACTGGTGGCAATGTTCTCAACGACAAAGTCAATGGTAGGAAACAATAGACGACCATGCAATAGCATTGTACTCATTCTATTCTAGTCTATATTGTCTTCTATGGAAACTGGTCTTCAAGCGAGTCTCAAGCCGAGCAAACTACGTTTATGAACTTTGTTAATGGTGTCTCTTCGACCAGCTGGTTCACTACATGTAAGCCTAAAAGGAGTTTGGTGTCTCCTATCATCACGACTTATCATCTATCATTCTAGTGAAAGAGTATACCGGCAATGACGGCAATGCAGTAACAGGACCATTGAATGTTGCAGCTGGTGTGGTCGACAGCGGTAGTCATGGCCTTACATTGAACGATAGCGATGCTCACAAACAAATCATTGTTGATGCTGTCAACTCGGGTTATCTATCAGCAACGAATCAAATCGACTCGGATGGCATCTACGTGATCATGGCAGGCAACGATGTGCAGGATAAAGACTTTTGCCACACCAATTGCGGATACAACGGCTATAGCGATCAATTCCAATACATGTTTATTGGCTATCCAGGAACCTGTTCAGAAAGGTATATCAAACAAGGGATATATTGATTCAACCGATCTACAGAAATTGACAACACTATTCCATTTATAGCTGTATTCCTCCACCTATCAACCAAACTTCTCCCAACAACAACCCTGCTATCGACGCTGCAGTCACCATCTTTTCACACGAGGTTCAGGATATCTTGACCAATCCACGTAAAGATGCATGGACAATGGATGCCAATGGTACCACGATTGAATTGGGTGACTTTTGTGCTGGCTTGAATGTCCCTGAGGATGTGTGGTTTGGCAACATGCAACAAACGGACAACAATGCAAAGTACAACATTGAAGTTGGCGACCAAAAGTATCTTGTGCAGACCATCTTTAGCAAGAACAAGAAGCAGTGTTTGCTGTCGTCTGAATAGGTGATGTCTATTATAGTTGCCATGTGTTTATACCCTTTATCCTCGTCTCGTAGCAGCAGAAACTCCCTCTCTTTCCTTCCTCTCTCTCTCTCTTACTTATCAGCTCCTCCTTTGTATTCTATCCTTCCTTTGAACAAATCATTTACATAAATTCTTTATCAGTACATTCAACATTGCAATAACTCCCATCAGCAGTGATCGTTGCCTAGCAACAAGATCGCTAGCCAACCAAAAGGCGATCATGTTTTCATTCTCTTTTATTTAAAGCACTGGATACCATTAAGCTATCTACCTTACTCTACTACTACTTTTGTGAGTCACCTTGAGTGAATACACGTGATGCTGATCCCGCAGGTTTTGTTGCCAAACTTGTCAGCGCGCAGCAAGGTTGCTTTTATATCCCACACTTTGCTCTCTCCACACACACATACACGCGACACGCAATCTCATGAGCGACATTGACGAAGACGAGTTGAAGGAACGATGTGTTGCTGTTGAATCGCTTCGTAACCGGTGCCAGACCATTCTACAAGATTCCGAAGACCTCCAGCGGAAGCATGGCTTTGAAGGGCTTTACCGATACACCAATTCGTTACATGCCGAGGTTGGATTCCTTGACAAGGTAATACTCAACGGTACTTTTAAAGGAGGGGAAAAGCATACCAACAAAACAATATCTCTTATCAAGCATTAGCTACTGGGGCAGCCGACTTTGATCAAGGAGGAGTATATCCAAAGCTCCAATATGAGCTACCTGGATGCAGTACACGACGCCATGAGTGAATTACGCAGTATTGAAGAGCTTATGACATTGAAGAGTGTTCCGCCACCAGATCAGAAGGAATGGATGCCACGTGCTGAATTGATGCGCAACAAAACCGTCAAGGTGGATTTGGTAGCTGAGAGTGGTCTTGTATGGATCAAGGTCATTGCACGCAACGCCAAAGGCTTACGTTTTGATATGGCTGGACTCGAATTTGACGACGATGACATGTATGAAGAGGAGGAGGAGGATGACGACGAAGAAGAACTTGAAGAAGCCATGGGCAGCTTACATGTTGGCAGCGAAGGATTCGATCAACTACCCATCTTCAAAAAGGCCCAAGACTACCTTGCGAGTGCAAAGGCGCATCAAATCCATTTCCGTACGCCTATTGTGATATTTGCCTTTATGCGATTACAGGAGAATGACGAGTTTGTTGGGCGTATTCTTGATCATTTACGTTCGTTGGGGATTGTGGTCTATACAGCGGGTGGTGAAAGCAACTTGCAGGCAGCATGTCAAGTGGCACTTGGTGAACCCGTACCTGTGGAATCATTGACAACCTCCAAACTCAACCTGGATGTGAGCACAGTGTTGGCTGTGCTATCGGAGATGGCACATGCGCCTTGTCAACCTGATCAAGTGGAAGGTGAAGCTTTACAAATCCAAGCCAGGCGTGAAATGACATCCCCTGAATTGCCAGTACTCAAAAACTTGTTGGTCGACAAGGAGCTATATATGGTGCAAAGTGCTTTCAATCGACTTGAGAGTATTGTCAACGTGGTGGGTGGTCCTCGGGAACAAGCCCGATTCCATTATTTATTCCGGGATCAACTTTCTATCGATCAAGAGTACGACCCTGAGCTATGGACACAGCTACCGCCTCTTTCGGTTCATGTGGTACCTGACAACACTTCCGATCGTTTCAAACAACTACTCGAACCACCCTCTCGTAAAGGAAAACTCAATAATGGCCGTAAAATCAGATCCCGGTTTTCCGAATTTCATGCCATCATTTTTGGTTCCGGCGATGCATACCGTATGACAACTATCACAGCTATTCAATGGATGGATACAGCGCTTGACGATGCAGGCCTCACTGGTACAGCTATCATTGCTCATGAACCACGATCACTTGCAGAACAGAAAATGAAAAGACCATCACCATCATCATCATCATCATGATCAATAGAAAACTCTATTAGAATAAACCTACTTTGATATTTATTGTTGGGGACAATCTTTATTCCAAGATATTGGAAACACGTTAGCTCTTCTCATATTCAGATGCATTGGCAGCGGAGAGGAAAGCATTTGTTGATTGTCGACTTGGTTGTTTGATGATAGCACACACACACACACACACACACACACAGCTCATTGTCGTCAAGGCATAGGTTTCACAAGAACAATGAAAAGGCTTTCTCTCCTTGTTTTTTTTTCTCACACACACACACACACACAAAAGCACGCACGCGTCATTCTATCAAATGAAGATGCCCTTTGTTTTTGGCATATAGCTGAATGATGGAGTATCATGACATGGATGATAAGAAGGGGACGGGACCAATGAATGACGCCACGCGTCAATAAGAGTCATCAACCAAAACAGAAAATTGTTGGCAAGATGCGGGGACATCTGAATAAAGAAAAAGGTTATGTGAGCACGACATTCTTCAAGCCCCTCCCCTCTCTCTGTTGCCACACACGCACACACACAGTGGTAAATGTGACTCATTATAAAGAGTCCGACGCCCACTTATCCTGTACTTTGCACGACACAACCACCAGGCTTTGTGTATACGTGTGTGGGAAGACGAAAGATTGGTCCATGACATCAGGCTCTTCTTACTTTATATGTGAGATCCGTACGCCCTGTCAATCAAAAGAGAGGTAAGGCTGTTTTGTGCGCTATCGTGTCTTTTATTCCATAGGGGGGTGTGGGAGCACAAACAAAAAACAGAAAAGAAAGCATGATGCATAACTATGTATCAAGAACTTCTAATGACGTGTCAAAGTTCAAGTAGGAATGGAAACAAGAAATGTATGTATAAGAAGGGGGTAAGTGATAAGAGAGGGGATCAAGCCGCATGTCTTATCGCCGTGATGTGAGTATATGTGAAACTAACTCAAAAGTAAAGGAAAAAAAAAGAGAACAAGCTGTGCGTTGATATGTGCATAGTGGGGGGAGAGATGAAGAAAAAGCTGGGGGACGATAAGAATACCGAGTATATGGGGTGCTTATGGTACATCCAAAGGGAAGCTTCAAAAAGTATGTATAGGGTGCTGCTGAATAGTAGTAGTGGAGGTTGTTGAGTAGTGTAAAAGAGGAGTATAATAATGCATCATAGTGATGTAGCGATGATGCTCCGCTCAATAGTGATCGGTGGGAGGCAACCGAAAGCGTAGTGTATCCTGGTGATGAAGGCGTTGTGTTATCGTTGACGGGCCACAGATGGTGTCATAATCATCCTCGTCATCGTGGGTCATGATGATAGCATTATCGATGTTGACAGCTTGGTACAAGGGATCAGCAAGGCAAGTCCACTGAGACGGGTGCACACCATTTCTGGGACAAGAAGCCTGATGAAAGAGAGAAAACGATGAGCGAAGGTGGATGATGGTTGGCATTGTAACAAGAACGCACCTGATGATCGGGGAGCCAGCTTCCGCAAAGTTCACAAGTGGCAGGCATGGTTGTTGTTTGTCGTCGATAAGAAAAAAAGAGAAAGAGATAGGGTGGAGTAAAAAGGAAAGGGAAAATTGCTGTCCTTTTATATTTTTACAATGCGTGTCAAGGTGTCAACTTTACTCTTTTTTTTCTGGAAAGGCATGTGTCTCCCACCACCACTCTACTATCAGCTTGCTTTACCAACATGCACGCACGCTTCACCAACAGCATCACTCCCCCACCCCCCTTGAATAACACTTTTACTCTCTCTCTCTCTCTCCTCACTCTTTCACTACACCACCCCCAAATCTATGCTGGCGTTTATCGTCCCTTGTTGGTGCCCTCATTTTTCCCCTTTCCCAAGCTCTTGTTGGATGCTACTCCTAGTCCCACCCCCCAAAAAAGTCAAATCCTAACATGTGAGTGATACGCATGTGCTACAATGTCGCACCTGCACAATGACATGAAGTAGTGTCCTCGTGGAGGTATCGACAACGATAAAGGAAGTGGGGAGAAGGATAGGGCGATTCACATTCCGTCCATGACCTTACTTGCCGCTCTTTTGCACGCTCACACGTTTTTGGTATCAGTGCAACATTTGGGAATTTACAACGGGGCAATTGCATTAACTACTCAATTAGCCCAAGTCATATGATAAGTCGCTCATTCATTGGCTTGTGCGTTAGCACACGCCTATTGCATCACCCATTTCCACGTACAAAATCATTCACTATTGCAACCATACACACATTATTATGTCTGCTATGTGCACCACCATCATTTATAACAAGAATCATCCAATCCCAACTTTCAATAACAGGCGAGAAATGGTCATGTTGTACAAACGCGGCATTTTTCTCTCTCCTCTTATTTCCATACATTCCTTCCTGGTCGTTGTTGTGTTTGTGTATATCGAATCATTTGTTATTGGAAAGATGATATGGGCACGAGGTACTCAAAAAATCGTGATAACGTATTAATTTGAACATCTTGCACTGCCACGATACTTGTGTAAGCGCGTTGTGTACAAGAGCACCAACACCACCTGATCACCCACAACCACAGCCATATCACACACATCATCGTCGCGGAGCAAACACAACACAAGGTGCCGAGATCAAAAGAGTGTAATGTGGCGAAAGCAAGCTAACCAACGATAGCACGATGGGTACCATGGCAAACTGTGAGATGGATAACGTGGCTATTCAAGGGTCACGACGTGGGTGAATACACGTGGTGATATTTCTGGGTGATGGGGCAATCCTCTTTGTCCACATCATCGCTTCTCAAATATGGGTGCTCCAAGTCATGTGCGTAGATGTATTATAAACTTCTTGTTAATGACCAAAGTAACTTGCTGTTCGCCATGACGATCCACTCAGCGAGCCAATCTAAGTGACGATGATAACAACATGCCTCTCGAGCGTGTTATTGTTTGTTCACAGGGTTCATTTGTTTGTTTGTTTACGCCTTATTCTCGCTCACGTTCTCTCACACACGTAATTCGTGCTGCTTTTGATGCTGCAAACGTGTTGTCGGGTTGATTCTCTGTTTCCTCTCTCATTCGTTCGCCCTGCATTGCATCTTGCATCCGGATTAATCCGGCTTACAACCAGCTCCCGCCCTTTTACTTGAGATAAGCTCATCATCTCTCCCGATCTCACTTTGCTCCTATTGCATACCTCACACTTTGTCACACCAACACTCACGCCCTGCCAACATTACGACCCAAGCCTATTTTCCACTTCCCATAACAACACATTGAAGCAATTTGGATAGCTAATAAATGGCTGAAAGATTAAGTATAATCACAAGAGGATCACATCATGTATAGTGTGGAGACGTCAACCTACCATCAAATCATCAAACAACGCAATTTGGGATGCTGTTGGCGTTGTAAGAGCCAATGTCAATATGACGATGACAAGCTACAGCAAACAAGGCTAGTCTTGTGTATGCGGAGATAACCTCCTCCTCTTGCAAATTTAATCCTTTAAATCGAGAGGGGATGTTTAAGCCATTACATTCACAAAGCAACATCAGCTTATTGCAACAAACAATTGGGCTAACCAAGGTTTCAGAACACAAGGTTGACCTTTGCTTCACTGCATCTCATCTCTATTAAGCCACAATGGGCCTATTCTAGCATGTTTATTCAAGCGTAAGAGTCACCATAAAGGGAATGCGTCTATATGCTGCTTGCTTTTACCATGTAATCGCAATACATCCATTGCAACATGGGCGAGAGAATTTACCGTCAAAGCACATAGCTAATATGAAAAGTGAATGTGGGACCTTCTTGTCGATCCTTTAGTCTAACTAGCTGGGGAAACAACAAATTACTTGTGCCACGTTGCTCTGTGTAAGGATTTTCACATGGAGCAGCAAACACCGCCTTTCGTTGTCTTCAACGATGAACACTATCACCCAACAACACACACCTCTTTTCCTTTTCTTCCCAACACTCTCCTTTTATGCGTAACCCCAGTCCAATCCTTTGGCCTCTGTTTTTGTTTTTGCTGTTCCCTGCACTTGCAGCAGCATTATCAATCAACATGCCCTTACCCCACACACTTCATGCTGCGAATGTGAATTTGCTTGTTACTTGGGGCGACGTTGGAACCGTGACAACAGTCAACATTCTACTAGCTAAAGACGAAGGCAAAACGATAATTGCAACGCTAGCTAGCAATGTCGATGCTGGATCCAAATCAGCCAACGTCAAGATGCCCAGCGATACTCCCAATGGATCAGATTACTTTATCGTATTGCAAGGCAATGACAACACCTCTACTACTCGAGGTCCAATTACAGTCATCTTTGGTGGTGATGGTTCATCATTATCATCCGCTGCTCCATCAGCCTCTTCATCCGCCGTATCATCATCTGCCAGTAATTCAGCATCATCGTCAATTGCATCCTCATCTTCATCAAGCGCAGCTTCATCTTCATCTCAATCTTCTTCGTCATCATCCTCCTCTTCCGATTCCAATTCTCCTACCGCTACATCGGATGAGAGTAAAGATGATGACAACGATAATGGAGGATTGACTTCAGGACAAGTAGCAGGCATCGTCGTTGGGGTCGTTGGAGCTTTTGCTGTGGTACAATCGCTAATTGCAATTGAGAAAGAAAAATACACATGACTCACCTAGTGATTTATTAATTAGGCTGGTATCGCAGGGCTCTTTGTTTTCATGACACGACGACGCCGTGAACGAAACTTGCAAAACAATGGTGCTTACTACAATCATGAGAATAACGATGGCGGCAATGATGGATATGTCATTGATCAACAACCCATGGTGGGTGCTGTCCCACGTTACGCACCACCTACCCCATCCAATTTCATGCGATCGGATGCATACATGATGCCACCACCATCATCAGCCACCAACATTACAGCAGCTGCTACTATAGCTTCTTCGACGCAGTACTCTGTTTCAGAAAAACCACACACGCCAGGAACTGAATTGCATTCGCCGCATCAGTATTAGGTCCACCATCATTCGTTTCATTCATCACCTTTATATCTTTTATCATCATTCTAGTTTTTATTTCTTCATACATGTCATCGTGTAAAAATTGTCATACAACTTTTTTTTTCGCCTTTCAAAGACGAATCCATCCGAAGCTATCTATGTATTTACATCATTGAGATGGGTGAAGGGGAGGGAATACAAATAAGGGTGTGGATATACTGGAATTGAGGGGATATAGAATACAAAGCATCAAAGACTGCTAGTAGCGAAATCATGTACGAGCGCACGGATAGCATCGATGGTTCCAAAGACACAGCCGACAATGCCTAGGAATATGGTAATTGCGCAAAACACGAGTTCGTACCATTTCTTGTTACGCCAACCTGTCAGCTTGAGATAGCATAATATTGGAAGCAAAAAGACAAGACCACAATTGGCAAGCGCACCGATCAAGCTCATGAAATCGGCAAAGAAAGGGACCTACATCATATAACAATGTTAGGTTGATTCGTTTGATCCATCCATGATCCCAATCCAATACACTTACAAAGACAGCAAGAATGACCAAGAACACCATTGTAGCTGTACGAATAGCAGCGCGTCCAAACCAAGCACCCACGCGGCCAAGACGATCTTCATTGACTCTTGCGAATTGTTCAAATTCGAGCGAGAAGGATGTTGTAAAGATGGGGATAGCAAGAATCACGTGGATGGTCATCACAATAATGGCCACTGTACGGCCTGCACCGAGAGGTAGTGAATTATAGATGGGTGAAGCAGTATCGCGACCATATGCATAGTAACCGGGTACAGCAGTCAAAAGGTAAAGAATAGTACAAGTCGAGAGGCCTGCTGACACTGCCCATTTCCATTGTTGTGGTTTCTTCAATGCATGTTCGACATCTTTGTATCACCATGTCAATCATCCACAAATCCTTTTCTTCCACACACATACACATACAAGTCTACTTACGAGGGTAGGTATTGTTGCCTCCAAATGAGAATGCAATCGTTGACAAAGCTGTAGGGAATCCGGTCCAAATGACACCATCGTGCACAGCATCGACTTGACGATCCATGGGAGCTTGAATGACGACGACAAAGACAGCCATCATGGTACAAATGGCGGCAATGGCCGAAGTGGCAGTGACTTCACGGAGAGTCTTTTGAACGAGGGAAGGGATCAACAAGAAAGCGCCAACGAGGATGGTCCAAATAGGTTGGGTAAGTGCAGCTGGCTGATAAAGAAGATGGATCGTGAGCATAACAAGTTGACTATATAGTCCTCTACCTCCTCCTTTCACTTACTGTGTTGATCAATAACTGGTGCATGTTGCCAGCAGCCAAAACAAGATACAAAGCAGGACATCCAAACAAGTTGAGGAAATGAAGTATCGAAGCAACAATGTATCCAATGGTTCCAAAGGCAGCTGTGCCCACTGACTTGTAATCATGCAACCGAGTCCCCGGCTTGTAGTACAGGCAGCGGATCAAAATGATACCACTATATACAGCCATCACATACGCCAATAGCAGGATCAAGATGCCAAGCCAACCTCCAATCGCGAACGCCTTGGGAAGTCCTAATGTGCCAGTCCCAGCGACAACACACACCACGTTAAAGTACGCCGTAAGGAAATTGCCTTGACCATGACCAAATTGATCACCATCATCATTCGTGCTATGCGCTTGTATCGATTCAACATCCACCCCAGTGCCCACTTGTTCAAGCGTCACCACAGTATCTTTAGGATGCTCCTTTTCAGTGATCGACATTTGTTAGAATGAATAAAAACAAGCGAAAAAAAAAGTATACAATCGATAATGAAAAGGAAAGAGTGGATGATAAATGTGTGTGATCTGTTATTGAGATCGGTATGTTTTATATCAGTAACAAACATGACGACCTGCTGTTGCAGCACTTGTCATCGCCTATAATGACTTTGCCTCCTGAAACCTCGATTGTTTCGAGGTACAACTATATGCACGGGAATGATGTTGTCCACAGGAGTGGGAATAACCGACATCATGTTGGGATAGGAGGGGGGTGGTGTTAAAAAGAGCATGCTGCAGTATTGTTTTTAGCCACTATGGTCTGTGCATCCTTTTTGGATAGTATACCTCCGTCACAATTGCTGTTGATCGCTGTTTGAGTAATGAAACAATCCAATGTGTGTAAAATTGTTCAGGTACAAGATACAAATGTCGATCTGTGTACTATTGATTGTGTGGCCCACCTATATAACAAACATCTCACCCACTATAACGCAATGGATACGTTGCCGCGCACGTGCCTCTGATGATGATGCAGGGTATATGTCTCAACTTCTCTTTATGAATAATCAGCCGTAACCACGTTGCTCTTTTGGTTCATTTTCTATTGCTGCAGGTGACTAATATGTATGTATGTATCCTCTCCTGGCACATGCTGCTGGTTTACGGCCGCTTCGCTCTTAAAGGAGACATCCAAATATAGACACACATGACCTATTTGCCAAACTTTTATTTATCGCCACCACCTTTACTTGACAGTTTTGGGTACTAATGATGCATCAGCGTGAAAACAATATGGGTTGAGGTGTTGCAATGTCACACACTTTGCATCGTGACCGATGCATTCTTGCATGCATGCATATGCCATGTGTTTCTTGTTCACTAGGAACTTCTATAGCGAAAAGCCCCGGTCTTGGGACACTTGAGAGAAGAGGTAGGTATTCCTATTATCCAATTCCGATTACTATTGTTACCAGAGACGACAATAGCAATCAATAAAGACAAGCCAATGATCGTTGTAGTAGCTACTATTACCTCCATCGCCGCTAAATATCGTGCATGGTGTGTTTCCATGGTAGGTGGATCCCGTTTGGGAGCATTCGGAAAGAGGTTCCACTTGAGGCTGTGTATTGGCGGGTACTCTTGATTCCCGCTTGCAATCCAGCGAATGACTACACACGATCCCACACTCACACCCACACAATGGGACTAAAATATTGCGGACCTGCATTTTTCGGATAGAGGTGAGAAATTGAGAAATTAAGGCAAATCAGTTGCCCCACGTACTTTCCGAATAAACTCGCTTTTCTTCCATCCCCACAGCTGTTGTTCTTTTTCTTTATCCTCCATCATCGTATTTCTCATATATGATACAGCTTTCAGCTTATGGAGAGCGTGTCGTTGATCGACTAAGCATGCTGGGCATGTGGCTAGCTGTTGTAGTCTCCATCCGCAACTTTTATGTGTGTTTCAGGCAATACAAACGTACTCGTGGTAAAATGTATCTATCATCATCCTTTCATCTTGCTCTTGATGCTTATGGTTCATCATCGCTTTATAGTCATATTGTCAACATGGCTCAAGTAGCCGTCTTGTGCGTCCATCGTTTTCTATATGGTATCATCCCTTTGTTTGAAATAAGCACATGTATTTATTTCCCACTCCTCGTATCGTAAGTATTTGATCTTCTAAAATGCTACCATGACATTTATTAACACGGGCTATGTTGTAGGCTATGGCATATCAGTAAGTGTCCTGGCAACGCTTCTTGTTCCTTTACGTTTACTCACCAAAGCGATCTCGCAATCCCAACAGCCTACATTCTCTTCTACATTGTCATGTTTATGCGCCTTATCATTCTCGAAGCCGATCACCACTCGCTATGGATCAAGGTCGTTGGCGTCTTCCTCATTGCAGTACGCTTTGCCGATTGGCCGTATGAGCTTGCGTTTTATTCCGTACAGCAAGACATTATGCGACAGCCGCTTATGCAAGGCGGTATTTGCTGGGTGCAATGGTACGTAGTAGGTGACAAAGTGTGGATAACGGGGGGATGGAATACGAATATACTCACTTCATGGGTGTTTTCCTTGTCTTATCAAATAGGGGAGCAGGTGTCATCATCTTGAACTTTGTTGGTGATGTCCTAGCCAATCTATTCCTCAGTGGCATGTTTGTGCGTCGACTCTTTTTGCATATCAGACTCTCGAAATCGGTCATGACACGCCAAAATCGTCTTATCGAACACATTGCTCGCAAATCATTGTTGTGCCTTATTTTCACCTTTGTCATCAACTTGGCAATGAACTTACTCAAATTGACACGCTTTATCGGTGATCGATCGGATGTAGGTCCATCAAAAGACCCACCCTCATGTGGGCATTACACTCATCCTTGGATCATGATATAGGCATTCACCGTATACTTTGAATTGATTGAATCGACGTTACTCGTTGAAGCTCTTCGGGTGGATGAGACGGGGAAATATTCCAATCAATCCATTTGTGATAATTGTGGCATGGTATGTTGTGTAACTCAAAGTAGGTTAGGAAAACGGGACATTTACAGTTTTGTCATACATAGGCCATCAATCTGGGATACAGCGTTCGTGACAGCAAAGACCACTACAACAGCAACAATCATCGAGAATCATTTCTATCACGTCACACAAACAAGAGCAGACGTTCATCCACTTCATCTACAGCAGCAGCTGTAGCCGCTATCCAACGACAACAGCAATTGGGAAATGATAACAGCTTCTTCCGTGCAGTCAATTTGTACGATCCAACGAGTTCTTATATGCAATCAAACGGTGTTGATATGAAGGAACATTATCCCTTGGATGAGGAATCAGCAGCTAAAACCTCTACAACAAACTCCCATTCTCTTCCTGTTGATGAAACACCTTCTTCAACGCCGTCACCCACAATGGATACGGGCTTGCATCATCGATCAAACGTGAATCGACCTCCCCCAGTCGTTACATCTATTGCCAATACCTCCTCCAACGTCGTCAGAAGGCAACAGAATGACGGCTCTACATCCCCAATAGCATCCTCGCGTGCATATTCTCCCACCTTTGGTCCATCCTTGTCACAACATCCAGAATGGTCGAATAACGATTATCGCATGTTTTAATAATAACAGCAGTAGTAACTAGATCCCCCACCTTCCCTCATCTCAATTCCCCTCTTTTTGTATATACTGTGTCTGCCGGATCAGTACACTGCATCTTTATAATGTATTCGCCCGCACACTTTTCATACGCCAAAACATCCAATACAACCTGAAGCTATCCTAGAACAATATCCTTGGAACGTTTGCGTGAATACAACGTGTATCTAGATCTTTGTGTGATTCTTGTAGAAGTGCTCAATGGATGATGGCAGAGCTGTTGCATGAAAAGTAAAAGGAAATAAACATAATACGTCGCACGTCATGGCTGAAGGGATATGGAAATAGATGATTGCTTTTGATGTTTGATGGTGTATTCCTGAATGACAGGTTGCACAGAATGATGATGATTGCTGCGATAAGATGGCATGTCAAAAGTAACATTCTAAGGTGTATCAAAGTATGCAACAATGATCCAGGATCATATTGGTTCGTGCGTTGATAATTGATTCTATGTTCTACATGTAATCGAAAGCGATCAATGAGCATTTCTCAAGCAACCCATTGATAACATCGGCCTCTACTATGGGTCTCCATCCACAACATTACGTGATCCGCATGCCGTATTATACAACGTATGAAGTACTACGGCTATATATCACTTGTCCATCAGGACCTTTCTACAAAACGAAAGCCCCACAGTGTTTGGATTACCCATATATAGTACGATCTCATGCAACAACATCATAACAAGGTATTACATATACAATGTAGTACATGGTAATGCGATGATGATGCGGGACCCTTCTATCTCCTGCATCTTTCGGTTTTCCTTTATTCCAAGGTCTCACTAGCATCAGAGGAGGGTATATCCATTCATTGAAGTGTCATTATAAGAACAAATCCTCCAAGTCTCAAAAACTTACCTACTTGTTCCTTTGCGTATTCAACATAAAAATAAGCATTTTTGAATCACGTGACCAACATCAACAAAAATAAAAAAGACGAAGCTGGTTGATCGGAATCAACCGTTGAAGGTCTTGCCGAGAATCGAACTCGGATAACAGGATTCAAAGTCCTGTATGATAACCATTACATCACAAGACCGCTTCTTCTTCTTGTTAATTTGCTGCAGCAACAACTATATATACCCGTCAACTTCCCTTTTTGGAAACTCCATGAAAGTACCACCATAATGCAGCGGAATGCTTCTAAAAGTGAACAGTGAAACGCATGCTATTGTATGGGAGGTCAACAATGAGTAATTTGGGATAAAAGATATTTCAGATCGGGGTAGATTTCAAGGTTGACCAGCTGGCAGGTGCAGTTTGAGACCCAGCAGCATGTTGGGATTAACATTGCACTGCTGATGAGTGATGACTCCATGATCCTTATTTGTTGTTGTTGAAGCATCATCTATCATCATGTAAATTGTAAAATCACGCACTCCATTCGGCTATACGTGAGGAGTATGCATTTTATTTACATACACCTATTGGCTATTGTCTATCATGAGGTTGATGATGGGTGTGTTGGGCGTGTGAATGGGCTCAGTGTAATTGCAGTGAGGGATTTAACTTGGCACCCAGTGTAAGAATTTAACTTGTCGCTATGGAAATCAAATATGGCGGCGGCAGCTGCACTACTTGGGACAACGCTTCTCTTCTCTTCCTCCCTTCTCTGCTTTTATCCCATTCACGACATCCCGATCGAGGTAATGTATTGTAAAAGAGTGCTCTTGTTGGTTGTGTATTTCTGAACATGCATTGTCAGGGTGTGTGAGTATCCAAGTGTTGAGGAATGAGAGTGGTAGCCATGGCGATATCGTTGCTCCCTTTTGTTCGTTCTATTCCCACTCTACGCTTGGTGTCAACAGGTACATTCAGAGCCCAATGTTGCAGCTGAATTGGTTCCATTGACGTGTTAGCTGGTATAGAGAGCAAGTTTGGTTTCGGCTCGACAACACTACACCATGGTTTTCGGTTTCCAGTAACCAACAACAACGGGTTTTTCATGCATATGGAAAAGGCAAGTGCAATGAAACACAATGAAAAGAGCATTTATTGTGTATGTGTGCTAATTATGAATCGAATAGGTTTTTGGTCAGGCAATGCAACTTGGGGCATCATCATCTCTTTGGGTTCACTTCCCAGCCTGTATCAAGTGGCAGCTGCGTCGCTGTGCACTAGCCAAGTGTGCTGGAAAAGCTTCTTGGAACGCATCCAGGGCTCTATAGGCCTGCGTTGAGTTGAGGATGGGTCGATGACGATGGATTTTTGGAAGAGCATGGTCACCGTGCTGAGGTAAAAGGGGATTTGCAACAGCTTGTGAATGTGTTTAACCAACACGCTCTTCTCGTGATAGGCTCGTTCTTTCCCTTGAGGATTTCTTTTCATGAGGTGGGAAAATGATTGGAAGGATTGGGGATCATTCTTTCTTTGGAGAGGATGAATGATGACAACTATGAGCCTGGACTGTACGTAAGTGATGTCCTTCCTTGCCATGGATCGAACTGGCCTTGCGTGATTCGTGCAGTGCTTTCTCAAGAACAAGGGATCGCCCGACGTTGCTCGTATGGTGGTGATTTGGTTTGTGAATTCCTTCTGATTTGCTTTCTTCCTTAGAGAGGATCGCCTAGTGGTATACCAAATCATCATCATTCCCGGTATCAGATGGTCTAACTTGGCTCCTTTTTACTTATAGAGACGACGATTACGATGATTACCACATTCACAACAATGACGATTACGATGATCACCCCATCTACAACAATGACAATGATGACGACAATGAGATTCAAAAGGAAGCCTGCAAGATCCCATTCTTTTCAACTTGTGTATTTATGGATGTTGGTGTGACGGATGAGATTGACGACTGGTGACGAGTACGAGTACGAATGATGACGGAGGACGACTACGACGATGGTGGTGGCAATGTACAGTACATAGCAAGATAGCTAGATGAAATAAAGCATGGTTTATTTATTACACACCACTTGTTGGACTTTGCTAGCTTGTGGATTACATACTATTGCTTCGAAGATGGAATAATAAAGGTGGTCCGGTTCTCGGTCATGCAAGAAGTACATGGCTTTTGCGATACAATAAGGAGGAGTGGGAAGTGGGATGAGCTTGAGAAGAGAAAAAGTGAAGAGATCCCTCCATTGAGTTTCAGGATGAGTGACTCATTCAATATGTATACGTATCTTTTTACATGTACAAATTGGTTTATGCAGCTCGACCTTCTCCTACATGCAAATGTGATACATACCTTGACACACCTTCATTATTGGATGCTGTTTACTTACGTACCTTCACAAAAGGCAATCATCAGCATCATCCATTTGTGCAGGAACCTGTCAAGGACGTGTCTGTGTAACCACCACGTGCCGTTTCACTCAGCTCTTCATCGTTCCGTTAATGCAGCCGACACCATCCACTAGGAAAAAGCAACTCCATCACGCTTACAGCATAGGTAAAGCATAAAGACGCCTGTATCTCTAAACTTTACAATGAAACGTGGGGTTTTCATTAGAGCAATGTGCTCGGCTTGGCCAACAGCACCTTGTGTGAAAGTTTCGCGTTCAATGTCGCAAACAGCCCAAAAAATATTTTTTGGTCGTAGTCGTCGAAGAGGTCGACCCCTGGATCCAGTTTGGCCGGTAGCGACATTGCGAAATCTGGGATTGGCAAGCTTGATCGTGAAACTTACACACAAGATGCAGTTGGCCAAGCCGAGCACATTGTTCTATCAGAGACCCCACGTTTCATTGTAAAGTTCGGAGATACAGGCACCTTTATGTTTGTAAGCGTGATGCTATATGAGAAGTGGTCTTTGTTCATTGCCAAGTAGCTAGACCCTGGAGAGCCAAAGATGCAGAAGGACCTCTTTGTGTAACTCAGCTAAAAAGTCAGGACTTCAGAGACAATGCATGAAAGGTACGCAACCCTCACTTTGATGTCATACATTGGCAGCTAATAGCCACTTTTGTGCATTCCCAACTTTTGTGTATTCTATTGTAGGTGGACGATGCTCCTGCTCTAGACATTCATTTCCATGATTAAAGTAGGTTGATCCGAGCTGATTTGGTTGAGTTACGCTCA